ACATTGTTCTGTCTACTATAAAGCCGCATTTGGTAGGATTAGTTGATGTACAGACAATGCTAATGCATCTTCTAGGCATTAAATTTCACCTCCTTAAAAGTAACTTATGATTTCATTACATTTTTTGATGTAAGGAATGTGCCAATGTCGATGGGCTGGACAGTGCTTGGAATTGTAGTCACTCCATAGGCGACGGGCAAGAATAACAATACACTCGGACCTCTGTCTGCGAAATTCATTTGTTGGGAAACGCGTTTCGGTCGAGCAGTGGTCCATTATCTATAACCTCTTGAATGAGCGCTCACCATTGACCTCTGAGAGAAAGATGAACGTTGGACTGATCCTCCCATTTTATAATTTAGTCAAAAATGTATGCCATTCCTATTGCGAAATAGTGACTACTGGTATGTGATCTAGCAGCTTCAACAGTTAACAATTGCTTTTATCTGTCATAGGTTAATTCATAACGAAAATGGTGCCGCGATGGGGACAGTGCGTGTGGTCCCACCACAATGCTAGCATTTAGTTTTGAAATGATTACAACTTTTGCAGCATTTTAAAGCCAGAAGGACAAAAAAGTTGACTTATGTCTGTCTGCAAATGCATCAACGGTCGACATAATCTGTAGGAAAATATAACGAATCATTCAACCTAAGAAGGACGCAAAAATCGTCGCATCAAAATGGTTTTAGATGTTATAAAAGGTAAAGACACGGAGCAAGCGGAGATATGCTTACTCTAAGCGAAAAATGTTTCCTGCACTATAACTTTACAGACTTGTAGAAAAAAAAGTCTTAAACTATTTGGTTGAGTAAATCGATACCAGCCAATAAAAGCGCGACTTCTGAAACGGCTCGCGGTTGACCCTCATGATGACCAATCAGGAAGGGGAATACAGAGTAATGGTAATTTGGCGCCAAATATTTTTGCGCCTTAATGCCGCATTGACGATGAGCTCTTTCGACTCCATTTGCTTATTTTTAGTGGAAAACTTTGAATATTAAAGTCGAACGAAAGGAGTTGACTTATTGCAGCAATAAAATGACCACATAAAACTTTAGTATAGAATTTAACGTTTTTCAGAACTAATTGGGGCAAACGGTTTTAAGAATAGTTGAATGGAACTAATTTCTAGGGATCAACGTACCAAATTGCGTTTTCTCCAAAAAAAATCGTCTAAAAACACAAAAAGTAGACAAATAAAATAAAACATGCACAAAATTCTAGTAATACTTAAAAATAATTCCTCACTGTGAAGTTGGTGATGGTATTTGCCCTTAATAATTACTTTTTTACAGAGGATAAACAAATAAGCTTGTGAAATTTCCCTCGCAGCAATTATCACCGTTTCAATCTATCTATAATCCCTTCCCAACGAGGCATGCGCTTGCAAATTCCACTTTTATTAAACAGCCTAGTCACAGCCACCTCCTCCAATTTCGTGCTCTTCTTTCATAACTCTGCCTTTCTGTAATCATCGAATAGCTAATTTTTAAGGCGACGAACACCATCTGATGCAAAATATCGTAAGAGGGTGTGGTAGTACTGGTAGTAATTCCTTCCATCTAATTTTAGAACAAATTTTTCCTCTCATGAAAGGCATGGCGTTGTGAGGAAGCAATGCCCTTCAATTCGAACTGTGGGATGGATTGTGAGGTAGCGGGTGGCTAAGGGGAAGGCAAATGACACATTTGTTTATTAAACTGAAAGCTAAAATACAAAAGCCATTTCTCCCCAATAGTCAGTCAGTGGACAAATTCAAAGTGCACGACGTGTTTTATGACGTGCGTGAATGGAGGGAAGGAAAAAGTGAAAGGCCCTGAAGCCTATTGTCATCCATTAATGCACCTGGGTGGCACCAAGTGGTGTGTTTAGTAACTTCTATTCAAACTTTTTCCTCTCCACTTGAAGTAAGTATAAACAAGTCATTTGCTCATCACTCGCATTAAATTTTAACGAAAGATGTAGAGGAAGTGGAGTCACCTCATAGCGGACATGAATCACTATTAGAATCAGTGTTTACATATCACTTGGATACCTCACTCATCCTTATACTGGTGCTCAATAATAAGCTCGTTTCCAAACGATGTACGAGACTTGCACCAGAGAGCTTGCTGAAGATCCTACAAGGTTTAAGGCAACAAAAGCTCTCCCAGGCTGACCGGAATAAACTCAACACTAGACTCAATGGTCATTCCGATCCTGACAAAAGTTTGTAAAGAATTTCCTTGGCTTCCCTTTACTCCTCCTCCTCCTCCTCCTCCTCTTCCTTCCCTTCTTCGCTTTCTCTGTCTCCGTCTCCTTCTTCACCTCCTCTCATTCTCTCCCTCCTCCCTTCCTCCTCATCGCCGTTGTCGTCTGTGCCAAAGTCATCCATCACCCCTGTTTATTCTGATCACAACACATGTTTTTCTGAAGGAAGAAAAATTTAGGCGAGTGCTTTCTTTAAGGTTAAAGCAAACACATCTCGGTAGATCAACTAAGATTGATGCGTTAGTGAAAGAATGCCTACTTACTGCGACGGGCGTCATTCGATGGTTTGAAAAATTCTCATGCTTCAAATGATTACCTCCACCAATAAGGTGAATGCACTTGTTTGGGAGGGCAAAAACATGACTGGAGTACTGTCGACCTGAGTGTTACCAATAAATTAGTTGAACAATCGGAGGCTCCACTATTTACAAGGCTGAATTAGGTCACTGGCTTCTTCTTGCCTTCATTGTACAATGTTAATTTTGGCCTATAGGGGGAAAATTTCGCCATTTACAGTACCAAGTGACATTAATCATGAAGGAAATCTAGGCAATGGAGGTCTTTTCACACCTCATCTACAATCCAAAAGAGGTAGTATGCACTTCAAATGAGGTGGTGAAATCAGGATGCAATGAGGGCTGATGAATCATGTTATATTACATTTTATTCATTTCAGTAGTCCTTGACATACCTATGTCCATTTTTCCTCCTTTTGTAGTTGCCAATTGCCTCTTTGAGGAGGCAAAACTGAATCTAGTAATTCCTTTGAAGACGAGAATTTGTATGGGATTAGCTAAAGAATACAGAGCGCTGGACTATTCAGGTCTTCACTGAGACCTGAAACCCTTAATTGTGTTGAATCATGTGCTTGAGTTTGGTCCACCCACTGTGCATTCCGACGATTATGTCCCACCGACGATTGACAAGCTTCCAAGCCACTAATTTCACTACAGAAAAATCCCCTCATCAAATGATTGAGGCCGCATTTAATGACATCAGTGTTGTTCACAAACGGTCCGCACCCATTACACCGCTCTCTCTTCGAATGACTCCGCTGCTCTTGGTTAAAGGGAGAATGGAGGTCGGTCTTGGGGGCCCGTACCCAAATGGAAGCGGTTCAAACAAGCGATAAAAAAGGAAACAAATGCAGCCATTTACAGACCGTTTGCAACAGTTATCAATTTATTTGTAGCAGGAAAACATGGAGGACACTCCTCTCCCTCCTCCTCTTCTTTTTCTTCTTTCTCACATCAATATAATGCTAACATTCCTTCTTTAACTGCCTGTTTTGACTACCAGGATGTTAACACTTTGGCTAAATACGTCCAAACCATGTGGGCTAGCTCGCAGACCTTATGGAAATACTGGAGTGACCAAAACAATAGGTTTATTTGTCCATCAAATTGGGTCACATCCAGTCTCATCCAAGTCATTAAAAGGGTGACCATAATGAATATTTATAAACCTATAAAGTTGTCTCAAATCTGCAAGAATAGAACCCATTGTGTCTTGGTTTATGGACTTGTCACCTGTGTCAATTGTCTACTCTCCTTTTATCACTCATATGGCAATATCCTATCAGTACTTCTAGACCTTACAATGTTACATTAAATATCCATATTGTCATCGATTCTCCATCCCTACCATTTCCAGACATGATTAATCAGAAGTGTGAGTAAATCTTACCAAACCATCATTGGGTTGAGAGGATTGTCATTAGAGTTAAAAAGGAGAGGCTATCGAAACTCTGATTATTTGCTTTGAGTTGGCAGTCATTGAAGGCTCCGCATTTGCGCTTCTGCTGGATCTCTTGGATTTCAGGCTTCGTCATTGACCTCCTAACCTCGGCATTCTGTACGTCAATAATATATCTTATCTGTCCACAATTGCAGAAACGGAAACCAAGCTCCAGTCCCAAAGGAGAACAAGAAATATGAGGGCAACCTACGATTTTTGCATTCGGGACTTACTCGACCCCGTTTCTGGAATTGATACTTGAAGCCCAATGACCATGAACATTCATCAGTGATATCTCTACAGCACTTTTATGAAGATGTCAACAAAGTGCATATTCGATGTCTCCTTTATCCCTCAGCTAATTGGGTGGAACACAGGTAAATGTACCTGGACAGCACAAAGACGGCAAAGAGGAATTAGCACTTACTGTGTCTATGATTGCATTGCACTTTTCATCTGCATTCTAAAGACCTCTCTAATGTTCCAAATTCAGTTGAGTAGTCTAAATACTCTTGCCCTTCCGGGCAACGTTGGTGACTGAAACATTTGGCTCATGGATGATCCTCATATAGCCCCGACCTACATATGGCGGCCGATACGGGTGGTTGACCAAGTGAAGCGCTGATGTCGACATTCAACTGGAGAAGAGGGAAGGTAAGGAGTCTTTGAACTCATGCTGGGTTGAATGACCACTGAGCCATGTCACTAGGCTCCCACCTCTCCTCCTCTATAGCAATCCTGTTGCCATACCACCCCTCAATAACGGCCAGAAGGCTAAAGTACAGTCTATGCATACTTTAAAATGCTTTGTTTACTTTAAATATCTAAACCTTGGAAGATCGACAAGGGAGTGGAGGCCCGAGGCAGGCGGTGCAGGGCAGGAAAGGAAATTCTATGTACAATGAACAAAGTGAGATAGGCAAAGACCTCCATAAAACTTGCAGCATTGAGTCATTTGCATGATTGAGTATACACTGACTTCTTACTCTTCCCTTAACACAATCCACAATTCAAACGTCCACCTGGGTGATTTCAATGCCCGACATTGAAGAAAAGTCTTTGTTCATGCCCGAGCTTGCACCACTGGAACTTGTTTTGTCCTGCGATTCTCGACCAGAATCCATCAACAACTTCTCCTCCGTTGTGTCACCAATAAATCCAGTGCCCGCGGTCTGAGAAGTCTCCATTTTAAGCATTTCAGAAGGAAGCAGGAGGGATGGGGGAAGTTGATTCAATTTCGCCATATATTTTCCAATTCCTATGCTTTCTGGGTCGTGTGCAAGCGTCAGTCGTGGTGGCATCGAATCGGGAGGTATTCCAGAGGGCCCGCTGTAAAATCTACCACTATCGGCAGCTATACTGGTTCCCATGTACTCCCCTGAGAGGTAGCAGGTGTTAATACAAGTGCTTCCTCTCAGAGGATCGGGTGAATGGTGAGTAGATTGGCAGGAGCATAGCGGTGGCAAGGTTCCACCTACACCTAAACTCCATGTTCCATTTTCCACTCTTGAAGATGTATTACAGTACATATGTCGTTTCGATTGCAGATCAAGCGGTCCAGGGGCGAAACCCTCATCATTGGTGCTTGGCGAACCTGTATTTCGACTGCTTGGAGCGCTTCCCAGGCTATCGGGTGTCCTCCATTTGGTAGAGAAGTTGGGGCTAGATGGTGACATTACGCCTCGTTGTGAAGAATCCAGCTTCAAGGTTGGATTGGAGGTCTAAAGAGCAAATTTATTGAAAACAATCCAAAGGGCCCACTTTTTTATGATGAAGAGAGTAGACTCACCTGGTACCGCATATCAACCATTCCGCCTGTCCTCAAATCGTTATGGACTGCATCAGAGTTTAGACTCCTAGTACCTACAGAGTTGCTGCAAGAGCTACATTGTGGCGGTGACACCAATGGTGGTGGCTGCCTCCCAGTCCACTGATTAATTAGTTCAGCCGTTTGAGCTGGAGTACAGGGTCCTCCGCTGCCACCTGAGAACACACTGCTACAACTCAATCCCGGATTCATTGTAGCTGCGGTGGCAGCAGTAGTTGAGGATAACTGTGGTGAAACCGGAAAGATGTCGTCGGTAGCCTTTCCACCATCATCACCAGCATGTGGACCATTAGGATCCTCCTCAATGCGTGCTTTTCTTCGTCTGACAGTTTTTCGATGCCGTACGATGATTAAGGCCAGACAACCGATGGTTAGAAATATCACGCTAAATATAATAATTCCAAAGAGAATGTATTTCATTTGAGCAGTGAACAATGGCGACGACTGGGTGTAGGAGGAATTGTAAGATTCGGTTACTTGGAAGTCGCGTTGCACTAGGAAATGACTTCGGCCATACTCAAAGGACCCAATTGATGTAGGACCAGTCTGAATAAGAGAAGAAGATTCCATAAATGAGGTGTTAAACTTAACAAAACTTCATCCCATGAACTTACACTTCTCCGGAATTTCTCAATAGCCTCCTGTTCCCAATCAAAGCTCTGATTCGGTAGACCGGGATCATTTTGAGGTCCCATGGAGATGGCGAGAAGAGGGCGAGTGTCTGGATGGAATGGGCTTGATTTAGGAGCACATAGCGGTCGGCCAGGCCACAAGGCAATGCTTTTAGCATCAATCATTGGACCATGACCAATTTTCCCCGCCGCAACCAGTGCTTTACCCTCCTCTGTTACTGGCGCGATGAGGAGGGGTTTTGCCGGATCCCAGACAGCCAGTCTTTTGGTGCTTTGAAGCATAGCGCTTACACGCACCTTGTGAAGAAAATAAAGTCCTATTCCATCTTTTAACATTTAATCAACTCGGTTTTACACTGTGGAAAATAATAATAAAATCTATAGGGTCAAAGAGTTCGCCAATGCTTCTAGAAGTTAAATATTTTGTTGAACACTGACATGGCTATTTTGAGGAAGAACGCTACCTGTCCCTCGGGAAGCAAATGAAGTCCCATTTCCGAGCCATCTTCGAGAACCAATGAAAGTGCTATTTTACCCAGTGGACAGTAGACATTTTGTGTGTCGGAGGAGACATTTTGTAGGGTGCCCGAATTCAACTGTGCAGTGATGACATGAACGTCAGTGGGATCTTGACCCCGTACAATGAGATTAAGCACACGTGGGTGAGGACGAGAAGCAAAATCAGCAATCATCTCCTTTTCATTTGGCAGCAAATGGGCTGAAGTTGTCTCATCGTCTGTTACCGCCGCTCCGTAAGCCTCCGTTGAAGAACGAAGTAAGATCTCTGCGGATGGGTGCGGTTCCAAGCGACCTGACAGTGTGATCATCCAACTCTACAATAAGACAAACAATTTTACGGTTGGACATAACCGTATGGAGGGAAGGGAACTCATGCAAGATTAAGCGTATTAAGATTCATATTTCATTCGTGTGTAACTAAGCATCGGAACTTACGACACATTCAACCTTTAGTCGCACAAAGTCATTCTTTTCTGAAGCTACGATCGAAACATCCTTGAAAGTTAGCGGCTGTGAGTCCTTTTGAGCTGCAATTAGCTCAATCCTAACGTGACCTTCACTTTGACCAATCAGGAACGGATACACAGAACGCTTGTTTCGGAATATGGTGGCTGGCGATTTGAGGGGTGATGCGGCATACTCTGATGTCGACGGAAAAGGACGAAGGCGCAAACTCCACGATGGAACTAGATGAGTGACATCCAGTTCTGTGGGACGGTGAGCAAGGTGGTCATACTCCCTTGCCGAGATGTCATCCGAACTCATGGTCCCGGGTTGAATGTCCGAGAGGTACATTCGTTCTCCGGTATCCGGAAGAGTAGTAAATATTCTGCCGTAAAAAATGGGTTTGCAGTATGATATTTTGACAAGCTTAAGTTATTACTGCAAAACTGTGTCAGTGTGACGTTGCCTGGGCTTGCCTATTTCCTTTCCTCCACTCCGCCCTCCCTTCCTCCCGCCCTTCTATGCCCAACTGGGTGCAAAGCAGTTGCCTCGACTAACAAACACATTTACGCCAATTTGTTCATTTAATCATTAATGTTTGAACATTTTTTCACCCTAGTCAGCAAATGTTTCGTTTTGTTTAAACGTACTTTGTTTTGATAAATGAGTTTCACACTAGGTCAAGCATACGATGGTTACAATGAAGTGGATACAGTTTTAAGAGCTTCCCTATCCATTGCAGCAGCCAATTTTTATAGACTTAATGATAAAGGAAAAGTGCACTGAACTTAACTTTCCGAAAGCACCGCCTTGAGGTCTGAATTTTGCCAATTTCTTTTCAAACTACTCAGCACTACCTGTAACTTTATGTGGGTTTACATAAACGTTGACAGATTCAAGCGGTTTGGCGACGCTTTATTCATTGATTTATGCATTCATTTTCTAAATCAGTGCGTAATGGAGGCGCCAGTAGCCACGGTGATTGTACAAACATTACTATTTGAGGAGGCATTTACCATGAAATACCAGTAATTACATAGATTTGTAGACCAAAACCTGAGAATTTTGGTCTCGCTAATTTGCATATCGAGAGGATAAGACATGAGCGTAAGAGTTCAATGTTAGAGCATTTAAGATGCAACAAGTAAGACTTTATCATGGTCTCTGGGCCAGGATAGAGAAGCTTAGGTAGTATTTTGCTCCAGAAGTGTGTGCTTTGCTCTAAAATTTCAACCTCTTTCCCCTAATGGCATATGCTTATGATGCGCGCCTACTGAAGGCCGTATTTAAGTAGCACGAATGCTTCTAACAAATATTGCATGTGCTCTGAGCTATTTAAACCTTTTCATTTGAAATACAACAGCAAGTGACTTCTCACAGGCCGTTTCTGCATTGGAATCGGGCTATAGAGCCATTGCAACCCGCTGTCCTTATCCTCCGGTAATTTGGTTATGTATGTACACCCGCACCAGTTTGGCCAGTTTGAAGTATGAAGAAGACGTGTAAATAGTTGCACATTCTTCCATAACATCAAGCGGCTCAAACTCCATTGAACTTAGGTGATAACTAAGATATTGTCATAGGAGCGGTCATTTTACGACCCATCACATTTCCCCATTTTAAGGCATAAAATTTTTCCACTTTGTCCAGTTAGCATGACAGTTGTGATAGTTTATAGAAGTTACTATAAATGACTGGGAGCTTTGACCCTCGTCATTTACCCGCATCCACGTACCGAAGTCGGGTGGGGTGGTAAGTCGCCCAACTTTTAATAAAACATGCACGAACAAAAATGACTCATCCGGAAAAAAAAAGGAAACAGGACTGAAATAAGTTTTTCGCCCATCCAGGTTTCATTCGAGGTGACTCACATTGATGTGGCGTCTTGAAAGAGTTCACTCGAAAGAATCACCAATTCAGAGGTTCCAAGGCCTCTCCATCAGAGGGTGGGGTCAGCCTGACACCACTCTTTTACAACCGTGCCTTTCAAAGTCGCACTTTACCTAATGCCTTGACTGTGGAACTGAATCTGGCAAAAAAGACTCTAAATTGGAGGACGACAACACCATCACAGACTTGATGGCGTTTTGCTATATCTCTCACGTCTACATTTGGATTTACTCTAAAAAATGTCCGGCAGATGAACGTACCGAGCTGTAACCGTGATTTTTGTTTGCTCATAACGTGAGATGCAGGTGTTGGTTCTGAAAAGGAAAAGAGGAAGCAATAAAGGAGAAGCGAGTTAAGGAGGGTCTTCTAGTTTTGAAATACACAAGAACAAAGGAATGTTTCATTTGAAGGTGTAGACGCCATACAACACAGCGTGCGTAAAGTAAAAAAAGTACGTGCACAGAGGAGGAAGCAACATCTTACAAGTTGTTAAATACGGGGAAATTGGAAATTCGACGTATCCTGTCGGACTGAAGGCGAATTTTGAAGTTTTCAAAGTGCCAGCGCCTAATTGTAGGTCCAAGCCAAGCTCGCCAACTCCATTGGATGGAATTTCTGGAGGAAGGAGGTGGAGCGTGAAGAGAGTCAGTGAATACTGGCAGTCCACCGGTTGACTCCTGCAGGCTCAAAAGGATCTTTCCCCCATTTGAGACATCACCAAAGGGAGGATTGAGCTCCGTATCCAAAGGAGCTTCTCGCATTTGAAAAGGACAGGTGGACTGCTGTCGATGCAACATTGGAAGCGTGGCGGCCAGTGTGCCCACCGCACTCTGAGTGACAGTGCGGCAGTAGACTTTGTTGGTAAGTGGAACTAATCGACCCGCCGAATGCAACCCTGGGATTTCAAAGGATGATTGAAAGGCGAGTGGAAAACCTCGAGCAGAGGTTGAGGCGCTTGGAGGCACCAGACCGAGGACTTTCAATTGACGTGGTGGTGGTGGCTCCTGCGAGGGTGACCACGGCGGTTCCAGAATGTCCGCAGGCTTAAAAAAGTTAGTGAGTAAGTTAAAAAAAATGCCTTTATTTACCATCTCTTTGACTATCCGATCTGTACTTTTCGAGTGGTTGGCGGAGTCTTTAAATGCACCGAGTCGTTAACAATAACAACCGGTAGCACCGAAATGTATCTTTGATCAGCCCTAGATATCCACTAGCAATGGATTGCCACTGATTACACGGACCATGGACTGTCACACACTATGTTCAAGTGTATCCAAACCAAATCCAGACGCGGAGATTGATAAATGGAATTAAAGCATTGTGTGAGTCACGGTCCCTCCACCACCTAGTGCATAAACACTTGTTCGTTTTGGGCTACGCAATATGATTCGATGTGATGCGGTGTCCGACCCCGGAAGGGAGAGGTAGATAGGTAGATCAGCCGGTGAAACCCAAGACGACTGCCGATGCATGTTGTCGAACAGATGCTAACAAAACTTACATCTGTTTAAACATGCCGACAACTACGAGGGTTAAGCTGGATTCAGACGGTCCATAACTCATCAAGTGACAGTCTGAGACTTGTAATTCCAAACAAACTTAGGGTAGAAAAAGTTTTACTAAATGTAGTGACTCGATAAATGAAGTTAAACGCAAGAGTTCGTTTAGATAGGAGTCCATAAATGGAAGAGCGCCCGGTCCCGGTCTGAGGGAAGGTGATAGAGCGTTTGCCTTTGATTTAATTTTTGGCAACATAGCATTGTAAAAGTGTTGAAAAAGGACGAAAGAACCACAATACAGCCAAATTCTAAATTGTTATTCCCAACGCCGAAAGGAGTGTCATGAGATCACCAGTGCGCTCGTGAACCCCACACGATGCCCTTCTCTCAACCCTGATTGGTGGAGGAATGAAGACGAGCGCATAATGCTTTATTTTTCGAATACATTCATCCTTTACTGACGTATTTCACCTTTTAATATTTTAATTGCTTTTTTCCATTCCCAAGGCGAACGAGTACAACAGTCGCGATTTAACCTCCAGATCGGACAATACTTGTAAGAAATACATTTCTTTATCGCTTTTCCGTCAATTCTCCCAAGGATCAGCGAAAACCGTTTTTATCATAGATTCTCTTCTTATTTTTAAAGGATCATGAAGTACTACTTGATGATTGTAACGATTACAAATATTGTAATAAAAATCTTCCTCAGCCTAGTTGACAAGCTCGAGTACCGCCCATTGATTAGGTACAGTGCCACCTTCCCTTTTAAGACTGCCGACACTCTGAGGTAGTTTTTTTTTAAATCACTTAAAAACTTCACTTTTTAACTTTCATAAAAACGTGAATGGTGAAGATGAAGTGGAAAAAGATTGAGTTTCTGAGTTGTCAACATTTAAGCGCATTTTACATGTCCCAGCAAGCATGAAATTGAACTATTAGAAAATTGAGCGATTGGAGGCGTCAGATGAAGTCCTAAAACGCAAAATCTTGATTATTTTAAAATACTCTATAGGATTACTTTAGTGACATTCAAGGTGGCGCACGTATTGTTCGTTTAGACAATGGATGAGCTGCTTCGAAGCTCTGCACTTTAAGAATCGTACCCTTGAAAACTGCATCATGACATGCAATGCGTAGACGAAATTGATGAGGTAGAAAAACGAATTTAAGAACTACGGCTTCATAATTCTATAGGCACTTGACTGCTTGCATTAAAGTCCTTGCTTGTACTTCTGCTAAGGAATACTACTTCTGGCTGTGCCGGTAGCCTCGAATATGTTTCGCTAACCTTAGCACTATGTCTTCTTTTAGCTTAAGAGGAGACTTAGAGAGCTGCTTTTATGTTTGGAAGCAATTCAAACGACTAAGGTAAGGAGTACCTATTTCATCCTCAACCGAGAAAATCCTCTTTAGAAGAAAACATCAAATAAATCCTCAGTTTCATGGATTCAGACTACTACTGCTCTACTTATTGCTTACTAATACTTAAGTAGTTTACTCACACTGTCAAAGTAGCCCATGCAAGTTGCGATTTTAACCATCTCCAAGGCAGCATCCATTTTTGGAGCACTTAATGAAACAGCATTTGAATTTGAATCAGCGTGACACACCGCGAGATAAAAATAGGTCATTTCCTCTCGTCCTCCTAAGGATGACGATAACGACGATGAAGACGACAGGGACACGGACGAATACGATGAGCCCTGGCGGAGTGAAAGCGAGCTTTTCACTTTTTTCAGGCGCACTGCATGCAACTTGAGGACTAGAGGAGATAGAGGCGTAAAAAAATGCTGCCTTGTCTAAAGTTCGCTCTATGGTGCGCTGAAGCTAGGACATAAAATGTCATTTCTGTTTCACAGCAAAATATAGCGCCCAATACATATAAACAAGCGCATGTAGCAGGAATGATATGTCCACTCTGAATGTAGTGTTTCCAGTTTCTTGTATTGGAAAGGAATTGAATTGTAAAGTTGGGACCCTGCTGAGTGATTAGTAGGAAGAATGGCATACTCAGATCAAATAAGACAATCCTCTCCTTTGGAAGAGTAGATTTAACAGACTAAATCAGGAAATGACATTAAGTTAAGTCCTCAGACCAGTAGATCTGACAAAATTGAAGGAGTTATTTATGGATTTCCATTGTCATGATGAGCAGATTGGAATAGGAAAGTTAACTCATTGTCCCATCCCTTCGAGGACGAGGTTAGAGTCAGAGTCAGGGCTAGGATGAGCCTCCTTTAAAGCACATTTGACAGAAGTGTAGCAGTATAACAGACGATTTAAATGCGTCACAGGGCCTCCTGTCCCGATTTCAGCGTACGTCACTAACCAGTCCAACTGGTGCAATGGTCTGTGATTACATATTATCTAGGTCAGTCAAAAAAGCCGACCAAGGTACACGAGTTAGACTTTAAAAAGTAGTTTTGATTTTCTTCACCACGGAGATATGTCAAGATCTAATGGGAGGACTGATAAACGAGTCTGTGGCATCTGAAAGCTCCGCTTCCGCCTCCGCCCCCTCCCCCTCTTCCCACAGTTAAACGATGGAAAAGTGACTGTATTGAAGGAAAATTTTTACGGGCCTAGGCCAAAAGGATGGAGAAAAAAGAAGGACTAAGGAAGAAAAAATAGTTATACATTATGGAGTGAGTCTTTCCTTCTTCTTTGCTGCCTTAAAAAGGTCCAAAAACACCTCACTTTTACTCCATTTTTATAAATAAAGTCTCTCGAACGACGGAAGTAGTCCTGATGGTTGGCTACGATGCATTCGTCATGCGAGATGGAGAAGACGAAGGGACTGTTTACAACGTTCTAGATACGGACAAAAGTTTTTATGCCTGAAATAGGGGCGTACTGATGGACGGGCTTCAAGGAAGTTTGCATTCAAATAAGAAGCGAGAATAGAAAAAAAGCAGGGAACAAGTCGTACCACACTTCAGTTAGGAAACTTTTTCCACTCCTCCAAGGCTTAAGTTAGCTTTATCAGTTTCCCAAATGTGTTCTGTCAAAACCTTGATGAATGAGTCGTCAGGACATTGAATACACACTCCGCTCTCTTAACTGAAAACGTCTTGATTGAATAGCCAAGACCAATTCTGCTGCCCCATTCTCTTAACCGACCATTAAAACTGCCTCCAAATTACCCTCAACTTCCACTTCCGGTTTGGCCTCAAGGCGGAAGTGTCACTCCACTGACCAAGCGAGTGACAACACCACCGTCCTCTGCCTTTACCTCATCGAAGGAAGCGGTGGCGGCTCTGCAGTTCATCAATTACTCAAATATCTTTTATTTACCCTGCTACAAAAAAGGAGTTTAAAGACTGAACAAATGAGGCGAGAACCATCCACTCCTTGTTTACTGGCTATAAAAGGCATTTTCATGAGAAAGGAAAAGAATAGCTCCCCTTAAAACTCAACGTCTATCAGCAGGCTTTTAAGGCCGCCCTTCATTTTGCCAATCCTTTTGCGGTAACTTAAAGTCAGATGAATTGGGATGACTGAGGACGCATTCTTAAGCCTTGTGGTTTGAAAACGAGTAAATGCTATCCAAGTGGCATCGCATCTAATGCAGATATCCAAAAAAAAAAAAAAAACGCAGGCTGAAGTTTGTCAAGCGCTTAGGGAGCCAATGCGATGCTTCCGCTGACCGGTATGACCTCAAGTCGACAATAAAAAGCCCTCAATCCCTCTCCAGATCTTGTGACTTCAAAATTTATAGGTCACGACTTATTAAGTGCATTCCTTTTCAAGAGGAGCTCGTGTTGATAGATAGTGAAGGGAAGGGAGACCAAGTAGGTGACTCGAATGATGCACTTGTCCTCCAAGTGGTAGAGTAAACACCCGTAAATAAATCTTTTGTCCAGCAAACAAGTTGTTACAAAGTTGTCTTCCACCCCTCTCCCCTATCACAAGGACTTACAAATCAGCACCTAAGACCAAAGATTCCGTCAGGAAGTGAGGTGTAGAGTGGATGAATTCAAAATCGCTACGTTTGACTTGGAGACTCACCTCCTAGAAACACGACTTTTTTGCAAATACCGTCTAGACACTGATACATAGCAACAGTTTACAAGTCCCTTAGTCCAAATCGCCACTGTCATTGTTTCGCCATCTTGCCTGATCGGCGGTGTTCAATATTCGCTACGGTTTGATGATAACCGTGGCAACTTTTTATTCCTCTCTTCGGTACACTTTTTGTACTCCGAGCCTCATTCAAATGCGATCGTGTAGCGCGCACTTCTTTTGCATGTTTTTTTGTCCCCTTCTCGTTTTCCACACCGCCAAGGGCAGAGTTCAGAGCCAGCTTGTTTGTGCTTTGAAGACTACTTTATAACAGTTTTTGTGGCGAAGGAAAAAAGTTGGAGTTAACTTCGAATCATGCGCCTGATTTGGCGGTGAGGCGTGAGAGGAGGACGAATTGACACTGGAGGATAAGGCCTTTTCTTCCCTAACTCCTAGTGAATAGCTTGAAGTGACATGATGAGTTGCAAGTAGCTATCCTCAGCGTAAACACAGACGTTGATAATCGACTGGTTGAAAGAGGAAGATCTGCACAACCGAATTCATGATTTCTCTCTACAATCAAAGGATTACAGTCTTCCTATCACTGCTTCAGTAATAATTTCTGGGGTGGAGACAGTTGGTGGTTTTGAGTTTGAAGACTTCATGGAACCAAAAGGAGGCGAATAGTCAAAATGTCACCCCCACAATGGTCCATTTTCCATTTGGATGGGATAAGCGCGAGGAGGTAAAGGACGGTAGATGGATCTGCTCCTCAATCATCATGCAAACCGATCTCTCGAGAGGTGGAGGTCTCTGCTCCATCGATGGGACTAAATAAGATGTAGCCGCCGCCAACTTCGTGTAAATTGCTACTCTCCGATATTAGATGACGCAAAAAAGTCAATCTCTTGTCACTATCAGCAAATCAAGATCAAAGTTCACTTTCAACCGATAAGTCTGCATATAGGATGGCGAACATCGTGCTCGTTATTTGGAACCTCGAAGCTATAGAAAAGGACCTTGGCTTAGTTCTTTTTGTTACATAGTCTGTCTTTTAATGTCTACCCAAAAATTATTGCCATTCCGCGACATCTTACCTCGATTGACTTCGAAATACTGAACGACTGTCACTGCAACTGTCCAAATCAAGTATTCAATGGACAGTTTTACTGCCACCCAAGTGCCTCCAACATGCTCTTCTAATGGGTGGGATTACCTCTGCGTCATGTCGCAGTACGCTCTCAATCCTTCCGTAATTCAAGAAAACCGAGCTTGCTTAAAGAGGGAAGAGAGATGATGGTGATAGACCATCGAGTTGATTGGCTTCCGCCAGGCCTGTTCCATCTTTGGACTATGCCAATGGTTCCAGAGCTGGTAAGAAAGCCTCATTGTAACATAGCCTCGGATTACGCAATCAAAATCTTGGGAAAGGAGTCGAATGTGTTCTAATTAAGCGCAGCAACGCCTTTTACTCTTGAATTTCAAATATCCAGGTGACCTTGACCGCGCCAGCCTAAGGAATAACTGATTGTCAGTTGGCAGGAACAAATGCCGACTTCTGTTGGATTGTAAAAAGCAGTACATAACACCACTTTTTCGTCCCTTTTAAAGCCACCTCAGTCGATTAATTTGAAGCCAGTCTGACAAAATTCCCATAAAAAACTTGTGACATAAAAGTGAAATTTTGAGGCAGGTAGAACACGGCAGACAGTGTGTGTGTGTGAAATGATTCACAAAGAGCATAAAAAGTAGCAAGACGAAGGAAGGAAATCGGCAACACTTCCGCCGTTGAAGAAAATGAGAGGAGGAGGACGAGAAGCAGAAAAAGCTTCCACAGAGAGAAGACGAATGAAGCTAGCTGGCTGACTTGCTAGCTGTACAAAATTAACTGCCCAACCAGGCGCTTAAAAGTTGGCTGTCACAACCACCAATACACCTCCTCACATATCGGGAGGAGTGATTTAAAAAAACAGCTGTGAACAATGGAATGACGAATTAAATGGAGCGACTTTAGTGAGGGAAAATTTCCATCGTGCGTCACTTGAACCGAAGAGTTGTAAACAGATTCAGTGTCAGGCTACTTGAGGGGACAAATGGACCATCTCAGTTCAGATGCTTTATGGCTATTTTATGGCACCAGTTATCACTAATTTTTGTCCTCTATACTTGTAGCAAAGGCATTAAAGTAGACGACCTTACGAAGTGCATCTTCTAACTTCGACGATACGCCATTAGCAAAATTAAACGTTGCTTACTTGAAATTGCACAAAAATGTGCATACTATTGGGATTTGGAAGCGTCTCGGGAATAGGAAGTCGAACCAGACGTCCAGTGTCGTCTGGTAGTCGAGTTGTGTTGGCCATGCCTTTGGACCAATCAATGCTGGCCACTCGAACCTTGATAACGTTGGGCTCCTCGGCGTCTTTAACCTCGTGATCATCCTCCACATCGCCTATGTGTGGTAAGGATGTAGGCAAATGTGTGAATGACTCCACAACTGACTGAGGTGGACGATTTGAAGCCCTCATCACCCGCTCGAACCGAAGCAGACCTATCTGTGTCGCTCTGTAGTGAAGAGAATAAAGGCAGTCCAGACACCTACCCAAAATTACAGCAGATAATAAAAAGGGATTTTATTTTCGTGATGAGAAGAATTACTGCAATTCCAAATATTCATATGGCAGAAAATGAGGCAATTGTTAATACTAATAATGCTGTCTTTAAACCAAGTTTTTTAACAAATAAATGCACCAAAAGTGACTGGGAGTTTCATGTACATTTTATCCCCATAAGAGGTGGAGCAGGAACGTCTCCTGGGAGAGCAATTAAAACTGAGTTGGCGCACGCCACAGCCATATCAACAATCCATATCAAGGCCAGAGTTTAATTAGTGAAATTGACACCAATTCACATCTCTGCATACGAAATGTGCATGTCAAAGCGGAAGCAACATCCACTTTTGAGTGATTAGACCCTAATTTAACTTATTTCTAATCACCGATGCACCAGGACTGTTTACTTGCCTGTGTCTATGATTCATCATTGCATTCAAAGCTGACTGTCAATCACCGCACCGCGGCGTGCACATTGGAAAAGATAAATGCTTCTAGACACGCCTCCATTAACCGCCCCCTTGCCAATTCAAATGCAAACTCTCTGATCATCGTGCTCGCGTCTACTTCAGAAATTTGACGAAAAAATTCAAAAGCGTTAAATTAAAAGGTTGAGTCAAGACAGCTGACTTAAACCACCCAAGTTAAAGCTTGTGACAAAAGCAGACGGGTTAGAAGCAAGATAATGGCAAGACTACAGAGTGAAAACAAATTTGCAGATTATCAAAACATCTTTGAGATGCAATTATCATCTTATAGAAGTTTTACCCATGTGGTGTAGCTTTTTGACGAACTGACTAACTTATTAAGTACGGATTTAATAAGTATTCATAGAATCTTTACCCACAGTTCTATAAATTTTCACATGTATCAAGGGACGGATAATGAAGGGAGCAATTATTTCCCAACATCCCTTAGCTGTGACTGCAAATGGAGGAATTGCTAAACTAAGCTATTAAGGGCGATGCCCACCTAGGATTCATTTTTAAGCAACCCAAAACGCTTAAGGAGGAGGGAGAAAACGGAGAAGATTAGTCATGCATAGAATTCACTAGATAAGAAATACGTTAAAACCGATTTGGTCACCCATCTGTTGTCCGTGTGACCATGGAAGACAGTGCCGCTTCATTGACGTCCCTCCAGCAAACTCAGCTTTACCCAAAAAATGGACTCAGTGTACTTTTCACGTACTTGTATGCTTTCGTGATGGTAGGCATTGGAGCGCATTTCTTCCAGCTTTCGCAACTTTTCCCCAATTAAGGACTTTGCATCATTTACATAGAGGTAGAAGATTCGTAAAAGAATGAGATTATTGTTACGGTAATGCATTAATCTGGCACTGGTTTCTGTAGTGTCAATAAGATCTTTTGCAAAAATGTATGTCCCTGTGACAAACATAATGAGCCAAAAGGCGCCTTTATTCGCGTGAACATAAACCTTAGACACATCTCAAGGAAAAATACCTATAAAACTTTTAGTGAACCGCATTGTTATTGCATTCGATTGCGTTGATAAAAATAAAATCATAGAAAAGGGTTTAAGTGAGCCGAGGAGGTAGCACTCAAGTGGTTAATTATATGATTGATGAAGTAAAACAAGTTCTGACCAGTTCTTCAACACTTTATGTCCACGTTATTCCCAACTGTCTACCTACTTGAAATAATGCTGCTTATTTTGTGAGACTTTAAACACAACTACCGGTCAAAAGTTTCCCCATATGCTAACTCGGAAAGTAAAAATGTGCTACATGAGTTGGAAATTGGGTAGGCAAAGCGTTCATAGCAATTGCTCCTTGTTCAGCCATATCAAAGTCTGCAAAACCAAGTGGATCTTCGGTAAAATGAAAACTCAAAAATAATTGAACAAAATCTCTTCGTTCTTTCTGGATGACTAACACTAATCGGTAGAAAACGGTTGTAGTCAGCGTAAATCACAGTTAAAATAGGCCAATGAGCCACCTAAATTGAAAGTTTACTCATAAAAATAGCACAAATAACTTTCAACTTCTTTGACCAACTCGCGTTCAAGATGATGGCGTGAAACGACTCCACACAATTAGCACACAGTCCTGTGTTGAGGGTGAGGAGAGTTGATCCTGACCCTCCGGCCTTCTCATGGTCATGGATGCGCGTGTCCTTTTCCCATCAACGGATAATCAAAGTGTCCGTGACATGACTCATTAGGTACGGCTGATAGTCAACTTCAAAGAAGCCGCTACCAGTCCCAGCTTATCTTGCAGCGATTACATTAGAACGATATCCAGGGCAAATGTACCTTTTTAAAATTTCTGGCCTATTGAACTAGAAAAATGATTAAAGATGATTAAGAAAATTTTCAGATAAGGTGAAATTATTTTGTCAATTTCGTGACGCCTGTCATTATGGCAGAAGTATTAAGATTTAACCCCTTTGGTCAGGCCCCTGATATACGCCAAATGTGTTTAGTGGACGACTGATATCATCATCATCATGGAGAGAGACTTCCTAGTGCTAAGGCATCACAGTTGTGATAGGTCATTGAAACTCTCATAAAACACGACTAGGAGCATTCAAAATTCCTTAATTTACACACCAACTCTCGTGGGATATTTCCTTGGCAATCCCCCTGATTTTATCACCCACACAAGCTCTGTGGGATGGTGGGGAAGGAGGGGGAGGCGGTGGAGAGGTCAAAAAAGAACTAGCGTCCTGTAAGTACCCCTTGCTGATACTTCAACATCACTTTATACCGCAAAATAAAACTTTTGCACCTTTTTTCGCAATATGTATGAGTATGTGTTTTGAAAAGACGCAAATTTTGCCTACAGTTTTGTCCACCTTCTGAATTCAAGTTGATTGCCAAAACCAGTGTCAGCAACTCACGTCCTCCGAATGAGATCGCTCTCGTCCAGGGTACTCGATTGGATGCTGTCATCCACGTCATCCGAAGCGGAGGTAGGCGATGAATGAAGCTGGGGTAAACTTCTCTGGCGCAGCTTCACAGTTAGACCATGCGGTGATGGTGTTCCCTGCAATTTCCATGGCCCGCCCTCCTCCTCCTTGGCCCACAGAAATCGAAGTTGACTTGAGAAGACAAATCTGTAGAAGGAGGGAGTTTGCATAGTGGGCTGACTGGGATCAGGTTGCAGACGAGGCCTGCAAGAGACTCAAGGTCTCCATAAACCCCTCCAGACATTATTCCCTCCCTGGAAATGCTTTGGGCTTTCTGAATGTTCGGCAGAAAAAAGGGACTGCAGAGAACAGGGAGCAGATAATGAGTCTACTATCGTCAGCCACTAGATCTCGGTACATAATTAATTCACTGTTCTATTGTTATGAATAATAGACGCAGTGGACCCTTGATTCTCTCCTGGACCGTCAAGACTAGTCGAATTGCAGTGACTACAAGCCATGCATAGATTCCAACTGCAACCTTAACTAGAATACTGAATGCGTTAGAGTTGTATTTTCCCATTTTATGCAAGAATTTGCCCCATACTGTGGGGCAAATGCTGCTACTTACTTTTGCGTTGGTAAATTCATGTCCCCTTTTGAACCCATGTCTGAACCGTCTCGTTATTAGGCGGCTTCTAGGCATTTCAGCGGTCTTCTGATGAAGGCACTACAATGGCAGTCTAAGTCACCTTCAATGCCAGTGATATTGAGAAAAAACACCGGAGTTCTACCAATCACAGCAATTTCTTTAAACTTAAGTGGATGTTTGTACACGACTATTCGGCTCCAATAATCTCCCTCATCAAAGACTTTTAACAATCCAAAAACCGACGCTGAGATAAGCCTACCGAGTCTGAGAAATGGAGTCCTGAGAGGCATCAACTACCTACAACTGAGAACATGACAACACGCTTCCAATACCCTTCACAAAAGAGGCAGTTTTGATTGACTGTTAGGCTAACTCCGGACGCCTTGTTTCGTGCCTTGATCCACCTTCACGTCGACAGTGGCTACGAAAGTCCATTGGCTGGGCGAGTGACGCGTGGTAAGGCCAAGGACTCTCCTAAAGATGCCTGGAAGAGGGGTCGAAAGTGGCGGACAAGCCAGGCAACTACCACGACTCTAGCGGTGAGAAATTGGAGTAGAATTTGTCAAGGCAGAGTCTGTGGTGTTTTTGAACTTCTTTACGAACTGGGCATACTGATGGACACCACCAAAGCCACGCTCTTCTTTTTCGATTATTTTCAAAACATCAAGAAGGAAAGTTCCTCGCTTTTACGGTTAAAGAGCTGCTTTGAGGTCTAAATTTTGCATTTTTTTCCTCCCTTCAAAAGTCATGCATATCAGTTGAGCCGACTACTCTCAATATCCTCAAACAAGTTGACCGCCTTCTTTAATGCCATCATTTTTTAATCACTTAAAATCAAGTCTCCTGTATGCGTAGATGAAACGTCTTTTGCTCCAAACGCTCAACTTTTGGAGAACGAAAGGTTGCGAGCGACTCTTAGACCTTGTCAAACTCAACCACCGAAGTGTGCATGAATGCAAGGTAATTGGAGGCACTAAAATTAATCCTAGTAAATTTTGTGGAAAAGATGAAATGGATACTATAATTATCGGTAGGTGCTGGTCACTGATTAAATCCTCATGCTAATTTATGCCCTTATCTCGCTCTTGCTGGCAGAGGCTTCAAGGAGGGTAAAGAATTGGTAGAGTTATGATTCATTTGCCAGTTCACGGCCAATTAAATTAAATCATAAACCTTTTAATGATGGAACTGCGATTAGCCAGACGCACTTTTGCGTTTCCGTTGAAAACGGAGAAGACTGGGAGAAGCGGTGGAGACGGATCTATTAATCGGCCTTCGTTACACGTGCCATGTAGCTGATTCACTGAATTACAATTTGCCATTCCATTAGTAATGTCGCTATAGTAGATTAATTTTAATAAAAACATGGCATTGTGTCAGCCGTTTGATTTTCCTCAGAAGGAAAAGGGAGTCATAGTTCATAAAGTTGCCCTCAACAGCACCAGATACGTCAAAGATGAGTATAGAGGAGGGATATCTGAGCATAACACCTTAGTAAGAAAGTGAAAAAAGATTTTAAGGTTGGAGCGTGATAAACTGAATTTGAAAATTGGATTTGCTTATGACCTTTTAAAACTAAGCTTTATGCTACTGATGAGTGGTTATAAGTAGCTAGTCTTAGCAGTTGATATATGACAGAGAAGTTTTTAGTAAATAGACCTTAAAGTCACCACTGCAAGTTCAAACGCAAACACTGTAGCTAGAAAATTTTCTAACACGGAAGACCACTGTTTAACTCATGTAGCCAATTTTTTTCCAATGAAAACATATTAACGGACGGTAAAGCAGAAATCCGCTGACAAATTTAGCAGAAATTGCAGTCGCTTCTTTGCTAAGTAGGCGTGAGTTAGTGCTGTACACAAATGGCCGACACAGCTGGGATACAGCAGGATTGCCTAACGGTTTGTTTACATTAAACCCGATCATAATGATCACCCTCATTCCATGCCTCTTCCCTCACTCCACTTAAAAATGATCGACTACAAACTGAAAGAGAAGTACTTCCAACATGTCTCTGTTTGTAGTTTGCAAAAGCACCGAATACTGGCAATTGGACAGACCAAGGAACGCAGTAGTGACCCGGGGGAGAGAAAGAGTTAATCTAGGGACCGGGTGGTCATGTAGAGGTCAAGGTAAAAATGTCGGTGACAGGACGGGCCTAGACGCAAGCGTTAAAAGGAAAATTGACCGGATGAACTTTGCACTACCAGTAAACCAGTAAGCCATGGCTACTTGAGGTGGGCTGATAGTAGGGCAACTTTAATATGATTTGCATCATCGTAGCCAACAATGTGGCTGGCCAAGTTTGGTAGTTTGCTAGTGTGAGGTGCGTGCCATGCATACATGTCAAATTGCTTTTTTTAAACTAGTTTAGACTTATTCCACAGGACTTTGTTTATGCATCTTTAAATTCATGGATCAGATTGAATTTTAACACAATCGAATTCTCCACCCAAAAGGACATCAAATAACCCATCAATTAGCAAATACTTGTGTAAAAGGAATGCAAAAATTCGTTAACATATTTCTCTCAGTCCTATTCTGTTCACCAAAACCCTTTCGCTTAAATCAGTTCTGGACTAAAATGTCACATGAATCGGTCCTCTTGTAAAAAATTTGTTTCAACCGATCAGAATTATGTACCAAATTCGCAAGGGTTGGAAACGTCGCTGAGGTGTCCCTCACAAGTAACGCTAAAAGCGTGCTAAAATGCACAACCGGAATAATCTGAAATCTTCGAAATATTTATGATAAAATAAATCAGATGCGCCGTAACCGCAAAGGCTTGACCGTATATGTTAAAACAAGGTGTGTCACAGATGTATAAATTTAATCCAGCTAAAGAGTTGATTAAAACTTACATAAGCTTTATTTTCCATACGTTTGTGAGGGACGTTTGTAGAATAACCAAATCAAAATACTTCGCATCTGAGACTCTTGGTATCTCCAGTTGAATTGAAGGAAATCCATTGCTGTTTGTAATAACTGTTGCGAATTCGGTGTCTGGGCGTCGGTGAACGTATACCGAAGGGAGTTTCATGTGCTTGTATATAAGTGAGTTAGTAACATCATCCCTTTCAATGATTGAACCATGTGAATTCAGAGAGTTAACATCAAGAGCAGTAACGTTATAGGAAACTGTAATTTCGCTTTTATCAGGGACGGAAATTTGGGCCTGTACTCTAAGGAAATCTAAGTCGATTTTTGCAGCACATTCAGTTTCCTTGGCGCAGTGAATGAGGCATGAAGATGAAGAAAAAATGTATCCATCATACGAAGGCATCGAAACGTCAAAGTGGCAGAGCAGAACAGCGCTACTTTTAGCTACCAAGTGGGCGTTTTCAACGCTGCATAGCGCGAAGAGGTCAGAAATATAATTGCCTTGCATTGTAATCATGTAACTGCTCAGAAACACCGAGATACTTGACATGTTATAATCATGTCGAGATTCCACCCCTCCAATGTTTGCCTCAATGAAGCCAGATTTGGTAGGTTGTATGAAAAATATAGACCGCGATTCACTAGATGATTCGGTGTATTTTTCGAAGCCAAGATCGTTTGGCAACGTTGAAATACCATATTCAATTCCTAAAACATGTCAATGACAAAACTCGAGGTACCTTGAACAAAAGTGGAAAGACTATATACAATGCCTATTGTTGTTGCAACCCAACACCACGACATTTTAAAATGAAATAAAAATGCAAACGATTTCAAGGACGAAATTCTTATATTTACTTTATAAGTTAAAACAACTAGAATAGGTTTCAAATGCTAGTCAGTTTTTGGTAATGTAATTGCGATCATTATTTTAAGTTACTTCTTTATTTAATGTAGCTGTGCATGAATGCTTGATTGTTTTTAAATTCTTTATTATTGAGTGGAAGAGTGAAGCGCTGTGACATAATCCAGAACACTGTAAAAGCGACCTCACAAGCTCATTGGCGCGATTTGTCGAGATTTTATAATTATTTTCACAATTTTAGCACTCAAACTTGAAAAAGTCGAAATTCCATCAAGTCTCACTATCCGCCCTGAAATAAATATACTCAGCCCCACTTACTGCCTTCTTTTACACTGTGGAAAGTCTCGGGGCTTCCCGGCTTCCACCCTCTCTATTGACTCAGGAAATTATTACCTACAGAGTACCCTACTTGGTTGCCCCTTCATGTCGCAAGCTAGAGCGCGCTCCGCTATCCTTGCTAACTAACCGAGACCCCAACTAGCACAACCGACATGGCAGAACCAGGCCCTTGAAACATATTGGAGGAAGCAACACGGAGGACGTTCAAACAACGATACCGCCATAGGAAATAACCTTGTCTTAAATGCACAAGATAACTAATACCAATCAGCCTTGTTGGCTTCCGGCGACATCAAGAGCTAAGTTGTGATAGGCCTAAATGAGAATGAAAAATCTACTAAGTTAACACCAAATACAACGGTATAGCAAATGAAAATTGTAAAGTTGAAGTAAAACATGCAAGTTCGAGCATGAAGATGTTAAATGTCGTTAAAACCACAATAATCATCAATCTGGCGAAGAAGTCGTTCAACGGTCTGAGAGACAGCCTCCTCTGAATTCCGATTAAGTCGCATGGAAGGACTCACATCTATGGTGAAATCAGGCCCGAATGAAGAAAGATTCGAGTGGTCTGGAATATCTTGGTTGAGAGAGATCCTAGAGAGAGAAATAATGCAGTTGTTAGCAGATTAAGATGGCAATACTTTCGAACAGACAGTCCCACTCACTGTTCACCGGTGCCACAGGAGATAGCAACAGCTGTCAATATTAGCCACAGTCTAGCCGTGTCTGGAAGGTGGTACCCACCTCCGCCCAATATGAGTGTAGGGAGACCCCAGCTTAGCATCAGCTTTAAAGCAGATACATAAGCCGACTGATTTGAAGTGAGAGAGGCAGACAAATTGAAAATTCGATGTGGATCCGTTGAAAGAGCATCAGCGCCGCATTGGACAAAGATGGCGATGGGGTTTATAGATCGATAGAGAGAAGTAAGAACAGGCTCCACCGAGGACCACCAAAGACGATCGTCAGCACCTTCGGCTGGGGAAGAGCAAGGACGTTTCCAATAAAAAATGTTTCTCCGCTGAGGCTAGGCCTCCAATCAAAGAACGAGATAACCTGAACATACAATTTACCTCTGTGTGTAAAAACAAATGATAAAAGTGATTTGACAATGGAATGAGAAAGGTGTCTTTGTAGGTAACTAGCTGGAAAGGTGACAGTATCGATTTATACAAGTGTGGCAATAAGTACAGGACTCAAATCAATGCCGATGGGTTACACCAAAGGATTTTTAGATCTAAATCAATTTCCAAGCAAATAACATCAGTAAAAGGTGCTTCAGCACCTGCTCTTGTGCCAATGCTCTAATTCAATGTAAGCAGTATATTACCACCAACAAAATGGCAAAGGCGAAAAGACACAACACTTCTCTGAAGCAAAAGTACTCTGCGCAAAGTACTCTGAAAATGCTACGAAAAGAGTATCAAAGAACAAAATGCTTGGAACTATTGCGTGAAGATCAAAGTCGTACCCAAAGGCAAATTAAAACACGAAAATCGACCCCCACGTGCTCCCTTGAAGTAATCTCCAGTGGATGAATCAGGCACACCTGAACCAGGGAAAAATCCACAGGCACCGTGATGAACAGAAAACGTGACAACGCGAGAGGTGTAAGCGAAAGCCTCCTCCACACCATCGCCGTGATGAAGGTCTAAGTCAACGTAAAGCAATGGACCCGAAGAAAATTTGGGTGCGGAAAGGAGACGCTGAGCTCCCAGGACAACATCATTGAGATAGCAAAAGCCCGAAGCTTCGGAGCGTTTGGCATGATGCCAACCACCCGCCCAGTTGATCGCAATCTAGGGAATTGAAGTAATGAAAGACAAACAAATCGCGAGTGCTCTTGCAAAATGTAGCGTCAAAATTGCCCAAAACCGTTTAAAAATGAATATGGGGAATACCTTACAACGAGAATCAACCAAGGAATCAACAGCTGCTAAAGTGCCTCGAACAGCGGAAAGAGCGTAGGCGTATACGCCCCTAAATCCGCTACAATCGTAGCTGAGGCCGAAAACATCAAGATGTTCAGATATATCATCAGGGATATTCGGCTCATCGTCCAAGGCGTAGATACTATCCAGAAGCTGGAGGGCTTTAACATAGTCCTCACTAGGATTGCAAGACAATTGAAGCTGATGAAGCTCATAAGCAACCAGATTGTAGGCAAAATTTAAGCAGTCAAGAAAACAATCTATTTGATTCTGGGCTTTAAGGATTCAAAGATTCTAAACAAAATGTAGGATATTGTTCGCAAGCATTTACGTGACCCTGCTATTCAATTGTGATAGGGCAGAATAAAATTCCGATAAAATATTTTTTCCCCACGAAAAAACGGTAAAAACTATAGCAAAAAGGCTTAAGAGGCAAAAGATCAACGCACCTATGAAATTGGGTCAAATGTTGCATTTCTTTCGAGGAGCACAGTTCTAGTGGTGGTATTCTCAGGAGCTTTTTCGCCAAACCATAAGCGAATATTAGACCCATAACAAGCGAGAAGCGATTTTCGTATTTTGGCGACAGACAAGAAAGGTGGTGAACTTCACTAGAATACACAATACCAACAGGTGATGGCATCCGTCACAGGCATTAACAAAGAGGCAGAGGAAGGATTTGGTCCGGAGCCATTCACATGGGGCATTGTAATACGCTTCAGCTAACATCGTGGAGTGTTAACAAAATGAAACTAATTTACTAACACCAGTCCAATCCCGCTATCATAGAAGAAGCAAATATTTATAAATTTAACGTAATATAATTAGTCTTACATGAGTGGCAAAACTTAAGTTGTGTAATCGTTGCATAGAAATTAATAACGGTTGGCAAAAAGTTACTATTTCAAATTTAACAATTTAAGTTCTCGTTTACTTTCTGAGAACAATTTATGCTTAGAGTGATGAGCAGGAATTATTCACAGTAGCGATGGATGAAACGGTGATCCTCTTCCTGGAGGCTTATCTGTAGGTATAAGCAGGTGTTTAATTCGTGTCATAATTTTGCCTTTCTTTAATGTGCAATGGTGGAAATACAAATCAAGCCCCTATCGCAGTTGATAACTGCATAAGAGGTGTACTTTGATGCAAGGATGCTGGCGGTGCCTTGCCTGTTTAGTTCTAAATTTGATAGCAAATACGCTGAAATAATCGAACCTACTTAAGCGTGGATATATAAGTTCGGGTTCTTAATTTTTTTTCAGCTGGATGAAATTCAGGACGAAGTTCTACTTCAACCTGATTGGTCAACTACAAACGCTGGAAAGGCCAAGATTCGTCAGTTTGTGTCTTGTGATGACTACCACGGAGGACTCGGTTCGGGAGCGAATTTCTGCTCTGCATCCTGTGCATTTGGTATGAGCACAGCTTCGATAATGGAAGTTTTAAGGATATAACTGACTTCTCTGATGGATGTGGCCTCAAACTTAACCTTCTTGTAGTGTCGGACGAATTTGAAGGAAAGACGCTTCTTCAGCGCCACCGGTAAAGCCTGTTGCGAGTCTAGCAGTCCATTATAGGATGGTTAACTCACTCCTAACTGAGGAAATGAAGGGGATTCATGCTCTCACCCTTACCACGCTGACCTCTAAGCAGTGGTCTGAGAGACAATAATACGCTGCCTGTAGATCTGTGTTGTGTTTATTATTGTTTTACCTTGGTCCCTTGAAATGCGTCGGTTTCAACTAAATTCTCATGCTTTTTATACTCTAATATGTAGTCGGCTGAAGCTTTGGTGTTTTGATGCGAAGATGGCGAAACTGTGGGGCGTATAATGCGTTTGCTTTTATTTAAACGAAATGTTTCTAAGTAAACTTGAAATGTGAGAACATGCGAATCTTTTAGAGGATTATATGCAAGTCTGTGTGATGAGTTTTGGCCATGTATGTACATTTAAGAGGAAAAAATCCCAACAATCATTTACAAATGTTTCGTAGGACAACTCGGGGACACTTGTCACATATTACTCTGAAATCCTTGGTTATACGACAGTTGCAGTTGGTGAATGTTGTCTCCTCGTAAGTCACGTACCCCCTGCCACAGCACATATTCTGGCAGTGGTTGGATTGCATTCTTTCTGTGTCGTTTGTGGAACAATACCTACAACGAAAACAGTAGCGTTTTAAGTCGGTTGCATTGTTCAGCAAATGGTTCTAGTGTCGAGCACGTTGATCTCTTTGGAAGGGAGGCCTACCTTCCTTTTGTTCCAACAGAGCCAAGTCGCGGGTCGGGTTCGCAGAAGTCCGGGGAGTGTTCTGCGAACGCCAGTTCACTGTAATGAATTACTCGAGGCGTGTAGGAGCCATATTCGTATTCCTTAGCGATTAAGAGGTTTCCATACTCGACAGAGACATATCGCGCCATCTAGAAAATTTGAACATCCAGATTCCGGCCATTTTCGGAAATCATCTTCGTGACCATCTGAAGTAGTTTTTGCTACAGCTAAAACGTGCCTCTCCTTCTCGTATTATGACTGTTTCAATTATGTTGGGTTCTCTAGGATCTATATTTCCGTATGTGAAGTGTTATCCTTCTAAAATCCACATCATTAATGTCTCACCATGTAGCGCTGAAGGATTATGTCCTGTAGCTGAGCTGAATCCACTCGCAGCAGTTGCCTGAAGCATATTTTGTGAGCACAGCTGCCGCTTACGCCTTGACATTTGCACCTTGTCCGCTGCGAATCCTCAATTATCTAAGTTTAATGTAAAAGCGAATTCACCTTAGTCTAATGCTTTAAATTGCGGGTACATTGACGGGAAGGAATAATCTCTAACTGTGCCTACCTTTAAAGTCAGACGTACTTAACCCAGACATGAATTTGGGGAACTCGGGCCTCTCAATCAGAAGTTCACTAATCTCTACTTTTTCTCAGCTAGTAGTACTTGTGTAAAATTGAAGAAATTAGTTGGGTTCTGTTTAGTTGTTTGCAAAAATTATGGGTAGCATAGTGGTTGTGAGCTTTAGTTACTGACCTTTATTCCAGCCTTATAGTTGTGAAGGTTGACAATCTTCTTTGTTTTCCTCCTCGAGTTCCGTTTTTTCGTTGGTTTTACTGTCTGTCTGGGCACTCTATTATAGCGACCATAAACGTCCATAGCATATCTGCTTCGCCTTCGCTGCGGTCTATTTTCCGAAGGGAAACCGAGAAAAGCCTGCGTATACGTCTTTGCGGCCTCGACATTATCAGAACATCCGCCCCAATGGTACTGCACTGGCACGTCTTGCGGTTGATTGCCATCACTAGGTCCGGGATCATCAATGTCCTGAGGTTGTGGAGGCACGTTCCAGTTGTCAACTCGGCCACACTCGCAGTCCATTATCTTATTCTCCGCACAGCGGCGGGCTATCTCAAACATGAGCGCAGCGCTGGCTAATGCGTGCATCGCTGCTTTCTCTCGGGTTGCTGATAAAAATAAGTAGGAGGTTTTATGACAGGTCACAAGAATAGTAAGTGGCATCAAAATGCTCAAAATAAAGTATCATCGGATATTGGAACCGCAGTTTGGAAAGTGCTAGGATAATGGGTTTTATGCTTTCCTAGAAAGCATGGACTAGCCCTGGTAAGTTAATGGGGCCTGATGAATGCTAAGGTAATTGTCACAGCTCCTCCAATTAAAGCGGACCATTCCGTGGTGGTTGCTCTATTTCATTCTGTGCCTTCTGAAATTTTCAGATCGTGAATCATGGGACTACTCATAAATGAGACCTCAGAGGCTCCAGAGGGATTTGTAGCGGCACCAACATGATTGGTAGTCTTCTGAATGGGCTTACTTCTAGCTATATCAGGTGTGGCTTTGGGAAGGTATTCCACTGAGGAGCAATTCCAGCGTCGGTCCTTGAAGATGTGGGGACAGTAGTAGATGACTGCTTGGGCCGACTTAAGGACTGCATGCATAGCAAAGCTGCCCTCGGGATGATGGCAAAACTCCAGTTGTTTTCGTCCCAATCCATAGCGATACTTGGCGTAGACACACTCGTTTGGTGTAAAACGCTCCTTCTCCAGGGCTTTCGTGCGTGGGTATCGATGAAGACCGCTACAATGCACGGATTTACCTTTGTAGTACTTGGAGATGGCACGGCTTCCCACTACTTCCACTATATCCAAGTCTTAAGCTCGCATGGCACTAACAAACTATCAGGACATCAAGAAACAGGAGACGAGGTTGCTAACATGTGAAGCAGATATGGTATTTGACACGCAATCAACGTTGTAACTAGGCTGTCGATGCCTGGCGGCATAATTTTATGACGCAGCCTAGGTCAGATCAGTGATTAATTGCAAGGTTTTTTTTCTAATTAATAAAAGCCACATCTTATAGAGTCAAAGGTATCCAAGCTGTTTTGCTTTTGCGGCTTCCGTTTTCTCATATCCGCATGAGTAAGGGTGGAAGCTGTAGTGGAATGCGTGAGGTAGTTCTAACTTCACCAAAACATTTTACTGGGTTGTTTGATTTCTTTTATTAACTCTAAAGCAGAAAGAGGAAAAATTTGGGCACGTGCGTATCGAACTGATCACCATGTGATTCCCTTTCCCTATCGTCCACTTCCAAGTCGGTAGGTCTAACCATTCAAAAGCCTTAAAATGAAGACCACCGGCCTGACGCAGTAAAGGTGCCTTTAATGGTCCCATCAACCACCTGTAGAGGACTTTAGTGTTTCCTTACCAAAATCAACGACTCCGAGGCAAATATACATAGCGAAAAATGGGTAAGTAGGGAATGGCGTGGAAAATGCTCATCGATGCCGCCTGATTTTCGGTGATGAAGTCGTGATATTCACTTCATTAAGTAATGAAATGCAAATTAAGGCTGTAGAGACAACCTCACAAGGATAGATGACACCTGAGGCTTTGTTTCTACCAGAATGGCATCCGAGCTGTGCCTAAAGCTGTTTGCTGGATTCTCACAACAGCTGTAAATTTGCCGCCCGTTGTGGAATAGAACATCCACAGCACAAACCACCTACACCTCGGTGTGGTCTCAAGATAGCCTCAAAAATCAATTTAGTACAAAACCAAAAACAAAAGAGATAAAACTTGAGATTGAAAAGGGAGGATCGAAATCTTGGCAGATGAGTCGAGCGAGGAGGAATAGATCCCATTCTTCATGACAAGGTCTGAATCGAATATCGCCCAGTCAAACGTTTTAGCTTAGCAGTCTGTAGTTTTAATTCTAAACGTTTTGGTTTTTGGAGGAAAAAAAATGAGAAGAAAAAGTTTTCTCTGAAAAGTTGCGTGTCATAAGGGTACTTGAAGGGACATACTTACAGCCAAGTGATTGTTTGAGTAAAATCCACAGCCAGAATAGACAGAAGTAGGAGAAGATAATTCCATTTGCAGCAAGGCATCAGCATAGTGACCAAATCTTTTTTATTGTGTCCGTCAAGATTTGCGTGTGAGGCACCTCACAGATATCTGTTGAGACGGCCAGCCGGACGCCGATTGAATGTCAGGCACCCGGCCAATAGGGTGGAAGCTTCCCTCACCCTACCTTTTGAAGGGCCACCACCGCTGCCGTCGCCACCGCCGCCGCCACCACCGCCGCCGCACCCGTCCACCCTCTCCTCCACCTGTGCCATAGCCACACGCACATGCATGCACATGCACACACACACACACACACACACGGAGGCGTTATCAGTCATAAAATTTGTGCTGAGGTCAGGTAAAGTTGCCTTCATTAAACTGACCAAGGGATTTTCATTAGCGAGTTTAACTGGGACGTGTCTTGGATTCACGTAGTCCCAAAAAAGTTCACCTTCTAGGCTTTAATTAGTGTTAAGCGGGGTCAATTGGACAATGGCGAACAAAAGGGCCAAAACTCACAACAATTCAGGTGAGAAGATGACCACTGGAAGGTTGAAGTAAGTAGCATCACCAACTTCTTCTGAAGTGCAAAGAAGACTCAGCAACTGAAAAGAATATGGATAGGTGATGCAAATAAGGGCTGTGGGACCCGTTACCAAAACTGCAAAAGAAGCAATCCGCAACTGTCCTACGTCATATTCTGAAATATCAGTGTGATAGAGGAGTTATTGCGCTTCCCTTGGCAATTCCTCGAGAGGAAGCATGCCCAAGAGTCCTCCCAGCACACCTCGTTCGCCATCCACCGGCTTCAGTACAACAGTTCTGAGCTTTCCTGGAGGCCTGCAAAAGACCCAAAGGATAAGAGCTTAAATGATCCTTTTATAAAAAGCTCCAATTAAAAAAAACTCATCGGAATTCCAATGCCGTATATTAGTGATAGACGATCACTACAAATTTGGTGCTGACGCTAAGCGACAGTCGCAAGGCTACTGGATTGCTGGAAGTCTTCAGCAGACCTCATGGCCCATTAATGAAGCCACCAACCAGGTTTGTACACCTTATCACCACCTTTTTATGAGTGTTTCATGGGATTACACTAAAATTTAGGGCTTTCAAGGAAAATTATGTCCAACCTATTGCTTGCCATGTGCCAGGCCTGTGGCGCTGGTCAAATGGCTATCAAACAGTCAAGCATTCTGGCTCCTTGCTTGTTTGATAGCTTCATCGTTTATGATTTGCCAATCTGGAGAGAGGGTTTTGTGTTGTTTGCTCGTATTTTCACTAATTGGGTGATTAATCATTGACAAGAGGAGTGCACAACAAGCCATCAAGCACTAAACCACTTGAAGGCGGAGTTTTTACGACACCGATGAATTGTGAGAATCACTGCCACATGTATTGTGAGAGAGGGCTATAAAATGCATTGCTAGAGTATTTTTTTACCTAGTAATGACCTTGTCAGGATTGAAAATTGGTTTGCACCGGGAAAGAAGATGACAAGCTGTCAAATGGCGTCTTGCCACAGGCGTGTCAATAGGTGAGACTTTTAAAAGGCAATATATATTCTTTCTGCTAAGCCTTAAAGAACAACTGCGATGTAAGATAGAAAAAAATTTAAGTGGGTGCAGTTGTTTTATGCTACCACTTGCCACGCAGATTTGGCAGGTAAATCAATCAGTCGATCGATCGATTAGTCCATCTGTTAAGTGATAGGTTAACCAAGCAATTAATACATACCATTAAATTTGGTATTTCCTTATTTTGATAAGACATCTGTCTGGGTGATTCAAAAGTACTAAAGTTGAGAATGTTGCCGTGTGCTAACACCTATTAACACCTAAAGTGTAGATTGTTAAAACTAACATTCTCGCCGTCCATTTGCTGGCGTTCCACCATTCGAACCCTTTTCTACTTCTAAACAGCTCTACAACTGTAGGGCTTGAGGTTGGTATCTCCACTAACACTGGTGGATTAACGCTCCCATAGTACAGACGTTGTCTCTGACACCTGTGTCAAGGACTTCATACGGATTGGGCTGCTCGTCTGCAAAAGAAAAAAAAGTATTGAGCCTAAGGGAGGACGAGTAGTTCATTCCACTACAAATACCATATTAGAGGAAATAATTACAGAATTTCTGCCTTCGGCACAATCACCTCTCAAGCATGCCGACTCAAAACACTTTTGAAGGCGCCTTGACATCCTTCTAGATTGATTGCAATTTTTGTGCGAAGAGTCAACACCACAAGCCTCTGCTACCAGAATGGAGACGGTTTGGATGGAGCTTGGATGCACCATCCAATTTTCATTTATCTACCTTTAATTGCTTCCATTTGGCACACTGTAGAAGGATGTCACTAAGGCACCTCGTCCTCTTGGACAGAGTAGGCGACTTCCTGTCCCAGAATGGCGCAAATTCCATTCACCTTTATAGGTTACACTCAATTTAATTTATTTAGCTTTTAATTGCATTTGGCTTGCATAGAAACAGGCACTCGTTGGGGTTGACATTTTTAGTTTGATGATCCGAAATTGCGGCGTGATTTAGTTACCTAGGTCATTCATTTTCTACCCTTCTGGAGGCATATCACACTTGAAGGAAGGTACAATCTCATTGAGCAAGAGCTGCAGGATATTTGTGAGCAAGAATTTCTTCAACAAAGCTACCAATTTATTTACAAGGTAGACAATCCTATTCACGATCAGGAAACGGTATCCAAGGTGTAGAGGAAGAAGGAGGAGGAAGCGCTGTCGCCTAAATTGTGCAGTTTGATGCGCAGCCATCAATGGTATGCGGATAGGAGGTGTGACACCGTCAATTCCATTCCCTCTTCCTCCGCTTCCTCTTTTTATTTCTTTTGTTATTCGTCTTTCTCTCTCTACCTGTTGCTCGCTTTCTGAAACAGGTGTTTTACACACAAATTGGTCCCGAAACGAACCCACTTTATGGCGCCAGAGCGCTTTGAATTGGTTTGCTTTTCACCTGACTTGCGTCACCAATCTACAGTGGTGTATGTGTGGAGCCGCCTCAAAACAATGGCACAGAGGTAAAAGATCTACCACCTGAGCGATTGGCACTCATTTTAAGACATTAACTTATTCACTGGACGCAAGTAGATGGTCCTTTCCACACGTTTACCAGCCTTTGGATGCGAGGATTCTGCCCATTCCCCTGACGTTCTGATGTGTTGGCATTTGTCATAGTTACATACTCACTAATTCGGATAAAGTGACTGGACAACTTCACTGTGACAAAATGGTTGTGTAACTTATGGGTGGTAGGAAAAGACAATCTTAAAAATCCATCAACCAATTTCCTGAATTAAAGGTCTCTCATTGACTCCGTTCCTCCAGCACGAGGCGCCAACTCTTCGAACACTTGACGAACCTGGACGTTGACCGTGTTTACAAGATGATGATTCAACGCCAACCATAAAACGTGCTGGTGAATATTCACACGCTGCTTCGCCATTTGGGTGGTGGTAGCAGTGGTAATGACGCTGCATGGAGGTTCAAGTTACCCAGGTTTCCACGTTTTGAGTCAAAGTGGATTCACTTCTCACAATTTTTATCCAAAATCGGTCAAGTGATACCCCTCCAGACGAGAGATTGTCGTCCGTACAAGTGATCATTTTGGTTCATCGATAAAATTCAAAGAGGGTCAATTTTAAAAGGCAACGGTGCAGTGGGACTGCCTTCCACATCCACATGATAATGACAAAGGGGTAAAAGACCAACAAGTCATCTTGTTAACCTAAAATTGATCTGTTTCCTCGTAAATAAGGCTTGTCTGAGAGGAATGAGACAGTGGGAGATCTTGACGTCCTTATTTTAGTGTTTAGTTGAAAGGCCTCAAGAAAAGGCAAAATGTAATATCACCGCCGTATTAACCATCCCTTTGTAGTGTGCCGAAAGTTTTACCCGGTTCGTAGAATTCGCATATAAATACTGCCTCTAGGTTGTGTTAAAATGCAACACCCAAGAAGGGGAGACTACCTTCGGCTAACTTCAAAGCTGACCCACAGACGGTGGAAAAATGTTCTGTGTGAGAATTGAGATTGCGGTTTTCGGTGTCTCGCGCGGTACTATCTCCTCGGTTCTTCACGCGCCTTTGGGGAGTCACGAGCTTTATTGTGTTGATCTCAGCAAATGGGAGCACGTGGGCCTTACAATCCTGCATACCATCCCCACCCATTCTCCTTCGTTATCCCCCCTTCACCCCTCTTCCCCTACCCGACTTTCACTTTAGGCCAGTCCTTAGGGAGTACTGTCTATTCCCATTTTCCTGTCACTGGAGCATGTCAAGGTGATTGGAGGAAGTTCACTGCATGTGGGTGTGTGTGTGTGTGTGTGTGCGCCAAGGGCAAAAGTAAGAAGAGCGTCTTTTCAGGCTTCTTCTTGAGTGTTTTATTCGTCCACACTTTGGTCATGACCGATGGCAAGATTTGTGGTCAACAAGACTTCAAAGTGATGGCGCGGCGCGACTTACTTGAGACAAAATGTCAATGACGATGTAGTGAATTTTCACATGACACTAAACAATACGACATTGCGCTACACCACAGCAAGTTTTATTATCTCGGTAGTCATAAAAGTGGGAGAGGTAGGAGGAGGGGAGGGAAGAAAGCGAGAGCGAGGACGAGAGAAATCTCGGTAGCTGGACCTCGAGTCAGTTTAATGCCATCTAAGATCATAAACGGGAATAGTTTATCCAGTAGTCTCGTTAATTTATAAATAAAAGCCCATTGTTTCAGCTTTCCAAATTAGGCAATTCGATTTCTCTTTATGCATAGTAAATGGGAGTGTAGGCAGCTCATGGGTACTCATGTGATTTGTGAAAGCAACTGAAAGAGCAAAGGGTCGTGATAATCATCGCAGCTGATCCAAGTGGTGCATCAGGCTCGTAAGTGAAGGTAACATCTCACATGCTAGGAAGGCTATTGGCTGCCACCTGGCAACATGACTAGTGCCAATCTCTTACTAATCTCTCACTCTCTTGCTCTCACGTAGGAGGGGTGTGCAAATGTGAGCCTAAGTAGTCATTATAGCTGCCACAAAGGAGGTTGACGGTCTGCATTACCACCATGCCGCATCAAAAAGCCGTAGTGAAAACTACTGACATGCCGGATGACATGCAACAATTTGTTGTGGAAGTTGCCTTTGCAGCAATTAAAACAGGCGCTGATAATCAGGGCATTGCTAGCTACGTCCGAGATGCTGTGCGACGTGAGTATCCAGGCAACTGGCACTGCATAGTAGGCACCAATTTTGGAAGGTAAGTGCACGGTTATTTGTTTTATTTTTCAAATTTTGTGATGGAGTGTTAGTTAATGACTGTTTTGTGGATCGCCAAGCCACTCAATAACCTCCGAGTTTTTTGCGTGCCCCAGAGGAGGATTGTCGTAGTTTAGGGATAGCACAATAGTGAGAAGTTGTTGTTGACGTCTGTCGAACTGATAATTTGAGTGAATCATACTTTAGCACCACAACAAAGAAACTAAATTAACTTAATTCACTACCTCATTGAGAGGCCGAGCGCAATGGCATTGTGGTGGATGAGACAAAGTAATGTACTATTAAGGTATAATAGATCGTAGAAACGGATAACATTTAGAACAAAAGGAGTTGATTTGTGTCACTGTTTGACGATCTCACCTATATTTCCGAGAGCATCATTTTTGATTGGAATGTGCGTTTGCTTCGAATGAAACCCAATTACTAATAGCCCATGCTCATATTGACTGTGGGGAGACAGTATAAGAGAATGCGTTTTTGTTTTAGTGAAGTGACTCATGGGAAGCGCGGATTGATATTCTTCAAGCTTGCTGAGCATGGTGTCCTGCTTTTCCGGACAGTGTAGAGCAGCTTTCGATCAAAACAAGCTGTGGTTAACCTTTTTACAAAATATAGGCTTACTCAACACATATGCTTGTTGATTAAATATTCGGAAATGCTGTTGGCTCACAAAATACTTCTTCTCTGGCTTTTACTGAATTAATTTTCAACAGTATTTAAAATCGCCGTGTATATCAAGGCCTCCTTTTAAAATCACTACCCAACAAATCTTACACAGTGTATCTTAGAGACTTACGACCTTCTTTTAAGGTTTCTAATGGCTATTTTACAAAGCGGCCACTGGCAGTAGAAAATATGCACAGGAGTTTAGGGATGAGAAATAAACTAGAACAACGGATTTAGGCAACACTCACTGTCATATGCCACCAATGGGTTCATGAAATGCGCAAACTAAAGCATTGTGGGTTTTCAGTCACTTAATCTGTGGTGCCGACTGGATTAAGCCTAATTTTTTGGCAGCATGACTTTGAAGTTTTCATAAGCAATAACAGACTCTAAAAGCATGCACCACATACGCCTTCCATCAATCGTCGTTGACAGATATATGTGGGCAGAGGAGGAGACGTTCATAACTACCTGGTGGCATGCCTGGAATGTGCAATGAACAGGAGATCTAATATTTGCATCGTTAAACAAAATGTCATAAGATGCGATTTTGGGAAAAATGTGAACTCTTAAGATGTTATTTAAGTTTTATTAGAAAGTGCACCTGATTATAGACAGGATAAAGTAGAAATATGGTTCACTACATGTGATAGTTGCTGGGTCAGAGGCTAGACATGCTACAAGCGAGGAAAATAAGCTCAAAGTAGTGTAATTTGAGCATACGTGTGATGGTAAGGTTAATAACTTATAATTGATTGTGCTTGTGTGCAGATGGGAACTGACAAGAATGTTATATGACTAAGGGCTGGAACCTTTTGGGTATGCTAGCATCCCTCAAACCATGACTTCGAACTGAAGACTCAAGTGCTGCATTTGATTAAGCACCATGAGTTCAGTCAAAAGACAGGACAAATGCGTTAAGAAACAAATGTAACAACCTAATTTGTTTGCTGTAGTACGTTGTGTAGTAAACCGTTTACAGGGGTGACTGCCACTTTGGTATCAATTTTGCTCTTGCCCGCACGAGATGGACTTGGGACACAGCCAATACGTGGCGCCTTTCCTTCTACTTAAAAATGAATACTTTGTGATAATTAATGATTTGTACGATCAGTTAGAATGTCTCAAGGTAGGATATACCAGCCTACCCTCAGACCCCTGAGTAGCGTCCCGAGACTTTCCATAAGGTGGAAGAAGGCAATGGGTTATGCTGGATACATGTGTTCCAAAGACAATAGAGCAAATTTGCTTGAGGATGGCCCGAAGACCAGCCCACGAGTACAGGGACCAGATAAATTATAAAGGGACCACCAAATGTCGCGTGGCCACACACAAAACATTACATCCTGAACCTCTGACTTTCAAAAGGTTTGGTTGGCATCCTGTGCAGAAAAGTAACAGGATGATATAAATGGGACACGAATCGGATTCGTGTCAAAATCGCTTCACTTCCTCTCCCTATAAGGACAGCTTTCAGAATTTTGCACTTGTACCTCTCTTTACATAGGTCTTCACACTTAAATAATTCCAGACGAAGCATTTTAATTCATGTGCTATCAAAAAAATGTTTCCCATGCAAATCGCTAGCCCATAATGCTCTAAAAACCTAAATTCAAGTGTGTTTACAAATGAGACATTACGTTCGACACCCTAATCTCATTGATAATTGACTATACGCGGTAATCTTGAAATGCGTAACTAATCATACCACAAAAACAAACATAATTATTCTGAATCAATTATGTTTGTCTCAATGTTTTATTGCATTTAACTATTACTCCTATTTTGTATTTTAAACAGTTCCAATTTAAAGGTCATTGATTTCAAGGCCAACCTTTTAATACGCAAGGCGGAGGGGCAATATTGCGTTTTCTCGAGGATGGTTGGGCGAGTTGTAACGATGACACCTCGCACTGAGGGCAAAGTCAAAACAATTCAAGTTATTCGTGACCTCAGTCCGGACCCGTCAGAAGTGTACCACAAAGGAGGTGGCCATCTGAATGGCATTATAGTTAACAAAGAAAATTCAAACCGATGTAATGACTCAGAGACACAGGAATTCCAGCTAGAATTTACTTGCTTGATGCATAACAGTCGAACAGATGAAGGGCACTCCGTGAGTTCGCTTTGCGGTTAGGTTCTTCCCCCAGCCTAGCCTTTTCACTCATTAACGCATAACCATGTACTTTGAATCTGGACCAGAGCAGTAAATGGATGTTATTTTTCTGTCTGTTCTGAATCTGCTTCCTCTGCAAGGCCTATATCAAACACTGTATTCAACAGCACATACTAGCTAGCTAGCTGAATTGTTCAATTCTACTAATTCTTACTACTTATAGTTGAGATTCGTTTGTGTTGTCCTTCCCTAGATTTAAATGGTGTCGCTGCCAAATAACTATTTTCTGTTAATCCTGACAGAATTATGCGTAATGCTGCACACATGTTTTGTTCTATAAATTTCATACGAATGGATAATTGAAAGTATCAACTTCGTGTATCTTGCAGGAAAATCGCCGTCTTAAGTTCTGGTTTATTGAGGACACTGATCACAACCGAAAGTTACGTGATTCTTATGACTTTTTCAAGGACCTGGTTAACCAAGAATCTTTCCCAAAAGGTATTTTCTATTCCCTTGTTTATAAATGGTACCATCCATTTTGTACTCCTTGCTCAGTTATTATGGTACTTTAGATTACGTTGGTTTTATCAAACGCATGCTGAAGCTGCTTCAAAGTGACCGTTATCCGAATCTGCGACGGGTCGATTTAGATATCGTGCCTCTTGAACCGTGTTCACAAGACGCATTTGTTCCGGGTTAGTTTTTTGCCACTCGTTGCCGTAAGATTCTGAATCTACTTTTAATGACTTGCTTTGGCTCTGCATTTTAGGCTTCTTAATCTCACGTTCACTTTCTTTTCAACACAGCTAAATCGATGCCGGCTGGTTAGTAAACGTTATCCTATGCGGATCCTTTTACTAGTTTCTTCTCCAATTGATCCACGCTGTGGTGTTGTTTTTTTGATATGCGGCCGGCACTTTGGGGAGTGATACATAATGTCTGCCTTTTTGTTAGCGGTGCTTAGTCATTGCCATTTGGGAGCTGCCGTTCCTGGACTGTCTGCTGTAATGGATGCCATTGCTAATTATCATTCATCTCAGCATTGAGCCTATTTTCTTAAACCGAGCAGTCCGTAAGTTTGCATCTAAATGCAAATTTTAAGTGCACAACGGTGCTTATCCAAAATGTTGCAAGTGTACGAGTATCATTGTCGCATTCTGGTAAAGATTATCTTCATAAGGAGTCATGTAGAAGGGGAAAATGTTTATTTTACCACTTTATCCTCTTGATGAATTAAGGCTGAAATATGATTTAGCCTAACTGGATCCTGGACTTTGAGGAGTAAGGTGGTTGTTCACGTCAAATACGGTAATTCACTTCTCATTGATTGGTTGACACATCACTGCGCCCTCTGCTACTTGTCAGTGCCCATTGCACTTTGGCTGGTGCGTTCCCCATTGATCGAGATGTCGTTTTTCTTGGGCATTCTTTTTGCTTACCTTTTCACTCTATAATTGAAATGCCAATATCCAACGCTCTTGACACCAGTCAAAGTTGGAAAAACTGTAAGGTGTCATGACCACATCCTGCTAGGTTGGTTGTAAAAAAGGGTAAGAAAGTGGCGTTTGTGAGCCCATCCTGACATTTGCCTTTCTTCATTACTGTCCAATTCAAGCCTTTTTTGGATACGTATAGTCTGTCAAGAGCCTTTGGGGTGTGCTACAAAAATTTAGTGTCCTCATTCTGTAATTGTGAGATGGTGCTGAATCACAGTGTGATTGCAAGTCGAGGCTTTTGGAAGTCAAGAATAAAACTAACCTCATCTGTTTGGTTGCTCTGGGTACACTTCACATTCCAATATGTAAACCAATTTGTAGACCTTTTTGGGGCGAATGCACTCTCTAAGACCCGAACAAAGTTGATCTCTCAGTTTGGAAATATGGAGACGTTCAGTGCTTAGAGCACAGGCTTCGAAGTGATTCCACATGCCATTTTTACCAACATTTTCTTTCATAATCTCAAATCAAAACCTGTGGCTGTAGAATTGTGCTTTAGTAAACATGAATTTGCAGTGATTTTACATCAACTTCCTCCTCCATCGGTACGAAATCCTACAAGTTGTTTATCTTTTGCGGCCCAAAATTCGGTCTGTGAATTGCTGTATGTTATGTTAGGCTTTCAATTTTGTGCGTGTATGTATGTATATATGTGTGTGTGTGTTATTTTAGCCTTAGTGATTGCCAAACGCCCTGACAGTGCTTTGTGGTTCTGCGGCAGGCCTGGGAGCCCACAATGTGTGCCTGCCTTTCTCTCTATAGTGAAGCGGTCCATTTCTACACACTTGGTGCCTTATGTTTGCACTTAGATGAATTTCCATGAACTTGGCAATGTTTCCACAGTCTCTGCACTCGATTCGGTCATCTTTGCAGGGCTAACTCTTGGGTTAGGTCGACTGTGTTGAGAAGGGCGAGTCGTCTCTACTGCTCTTGCTGCCAGCGCCAACCAATCATGCTTCAGTCGACTCTTGTGATGACTGGCCATTTTTGCGATAGGGTGAACATTTCCTGAGACAGAAAAGTAAACGAAACAGTATTTTTGTAGAGGGAGCACTATATGCCTTTTAGTTTTGCTTCTCACCCCGATAACCTACAATATTTCCGCCACCACAAACCCATTCAACCGTACACGCACTTATTTTGGGTGGAATGCGCCTTTTATTTTTAAAGTTGAGTTAATTTGACTTCCTTAGGATGGTGCTCACCGGGTGAAAGGGATCTGCAAAATGCTATCGGTTGACGATTTACGTAGTGTTTATAATGTTGGTGGTCGATAAACAACAGCATCAGTCATGTACGTCCTGAAGTCTGTATAAACAACTCTCATGGTAGCAAATAATTGGACCAGGAAAAACCCTAACTTCAAAATTGCTCATGTGGGAACATGTTGAGAGAGAATCATTCATGTCTTTCTCTTATGACGTGTCCATCAAGCGGTAATCATTGATTGACTTGCTTGGTTCGACCATGGGATGATCATCTCTGGCGATTCTTCCTCGTTTTATGAATTTTTGATTGCTGCAAATTTTCTCACTTCCACTGCTCTGGCAATGTAGGTTTGCCATTCAGCTGATAATCGGGAATTAGTTTTAACTCTGCTGTCCAACTACTTCAATATTCGTTGTTTGGTGGCGTGAGTATTTACTCCTTCTTGTAGAGGTAGATCAAAGGCCTGTGGAGCTGGTGGTTCGTGATGGCCTCCTTAGAACCCTGGAAGACGCCTATCCCAATGTGCTTTCAATGGATGATCTTATTCGGTAGGTCTTGTGAGTTTGTGGGGGCTGTGGGGTCGTTGTACTTCCCTTTTCATGCCATTGACAGTTGTTAATCGTTTTCTTGTGGTGTGGTTGAAAGGCACTAATGATACTCATTTCCAGTAGTTTTCATTGCCCCCATTAAAGTATGGTGAGAACGCACATTGGTGAAATGGAAAGACCTTATCAAAGTAGTTTGTTGAGGTCTCATTTTATCCTCGAAGAAAGGCCTACTCACCTGAAAAACACTTCACTCCTGGGGACTCGATGCAGCATGAGCCTCTAGGCTGTGAGTTTATTACCTACAGGTTCGGTCCATACACTCGCCCGACATGCATTAATTTCTCCAATTTACGCCCTAGTTTTTTACTGCATTTTTCTTAATGTCTGGAAGCAGCATTAAGTATTAGACATACGACAAGTGCCAGTCTGTACGATTGGTCACAGAATGGTTTCATGGCCCCCACGCCACCTTTTATGGGGGCGGTGGAAGGTTGATCACACTTCTGCACCCTACTAACTGCTCTCACATGACTCAACTCTTAAATATCTATGCATTTTGCATCCATTTGCTCAATGCTTCTTGAATCGTGCGAACCTCCCCGCTTGAATGGTGAGAAAGTCTTGCCATGTGACTTTGAACTTATCGACACGGTGCACCGACCATCCAGCTGCGAAGGGACCAAAGCACTTCCTTAAATTTTTGTTCTCCCCAGAAGCATGGCTTCTGTGGCCCGTCAGGGGAGGGATAGTCGATATTGACTTGCCTATTTTCCTTTTATCGCATATTTCATTCATCTTAGGCTAAATCATAGTAGGATACTGAGAATACTCACAATTCTGGAGGCATTTATTCCTTCTTCGGTCTTCTCTTCCTGTGATGGTGCTACAGACTGATTAGAGACACCTGCTGTCGGTAGGTGTTCACATCGCACCAACTGTCGATCGTCGTGCATACTTTAGCGGTCATTGCTTCCTATCGGCACAGGGAATTGGTTTACTCAGCCTCTTTTACAAGACAAAATAGCTGTGACTGGGACATTTACTTCCGCCTGCTTAGGCGAGAAGCAGTGCCCTTCTGGTATTTAGTCACCGCAGAATCTATTCAATTCGCTTAGCTTTTTGCTTACTTCCTGATTCCTTTTTTCTCTCTGCCTTTTCGTCAAGCCTTACAAACCTCGATGACACCGGGCTCTTGGTGAAACAATTGAAGGAGCTTGAGATGACCAATTTCATTCAACCTGTGTGTATTGAGAGTGGGTCCGAGAAGAAATTGGGCTATCGTCGGAAACTTAACGTACTGCATAAAGGTTTGTTTGTTTGTTTGTTTACCCAAAATACCCACTGCTACTCATAGTCTAAAATTATCGGGGTTTGCTTGACTCAATATTAGTTGAGGTTATTGCCGGCGCTGCAAAGCTCAAGTCCATCTCGGACGAACAGAAGCCGACTGTGGCGATTATAACAAACCTTTTGTGCGAAAAGTTGGCAGTCGATTCGTTGATCGAACGCAAAACCACGTACATCAGATATGAGACAAAGGGTACGTCTCCTCCATGAAGGATCTTTCCTTCGTCCTCTCTCGCCACTTTACCTGGTAGAAACCTTGTCGATAAATTGAGTGTAAATATTTCCCTACTTTTTAGGCGACTCCAATATCTATACCATTGGATACATCGGTTCGGTGAAAGTGATCTCCGTCAAGCTACCTATGGTTGGTTGGGAACGTCAAGCGAAAATATCTTCCAGTGGTATCATCACTCGCCTTCTTGGTAAGTCAACTTGCCTTAAAAGCCTTTCAAAGTTAATGTTTTGTTGGGTCGCCGATTGCTTCTTGCATTTTGGATGGGAATTTAGCGTTTTACGTGTCTGTGCATTTCTGTCAGGTACATTTCAGACAATTCAGCACGTGATCCTCTGCGGAGTGGGTGGTGGTGTGCCGCATGTGTACGAATTTAAAAAACACTCACGCTTGGGCGACGTTGTTGTCTCGGCTCCTAATGAAGAGGGCTCGGGTTTTGATAGCTCTCAGCCTTGGTATGTCTTCTGCGAGACAGCTGATTATGTTAACGGTAATGCTTCGTTAAATTCGGATGGAGAAACAAGCCAGCAAAAGCAAAATGAAGTGGCTTTCACGCACAAGAAGTTTGCTCCAAAGAATCCCATATTGTTGACTTATGCCAAGGCTCTTTTGGAATCCGGTCCCACCTCTTGGCATCCAATAATAGAGGATGGGCTGAGTAACCTCAAGGACCATGAATTCAACTTCAACCGACCGCCGGCTGAGACTGATAAGCTCAAAATTCAGGTCAGTTGTTGTCCAACCAGGCACATCAATGACAGTAGGTCATTGTGTCATTACGTTTGTATAGATCGGCGACGAGATGATTGTGGATGTAAAACACCCCGAATCTCCGGGCGAGATGTCGCCACCGCCTCTAGTCCGTCTTGGGTGCATCGGATCCGGCCATGCGGTTACTCAGAGTCAAAGTTTTCGCGATCTCTTTGCTGTCAATCAGAATCTTCTGGCTTACGACACCGAGTTCGACCAGGTGCTCGAATCTCTATTAGGAAATGGCGTTGGCTCCTTCCTCATTGTCCGTGGTATTGCAGATTATGCTGAGGGTCGACAAGGTACTGATGCGGGAACAACCTCAACGAGTTGGCAACCCTACTCGGCCCTTACTGCAGCGGCATTTACTCGAGCTCTTGTCCTTAAGTTGCCGTCTATGGAATCACCAAGTCACTTTGCCAGTTAAAGTAGTATGCATGTTTCCCAAACAGTTATTTTATGAACATTAATACGCATGCATTATTGCCATTTTTAACGCGTGTCAGATGTTCTCATGCGCAGCAGCAAAATTATGACACTTGTACGAACGATTTAGTTGATTTTCTCCGGATGATCATCTGAAAAAGCAAATGTTTTCCTATTCTTTGGGCAGATATCGGGTTATTTTGTTTTTATTTTTTCTGCCAGACTCGGGGTACTGTATTTCCTCTTTTGAGCATATGAGCGCCGTCTAAATCGGGTAGAATTCTTTAATTAAGAGTTATGGAGAAAGTCTTGGATTTCAACTGGTAGACGACTGTGCGGCGGGTTGAGAAGTACGAGGGTATGATTCGCGAACCCGATTTGGTTACTTCGGGGTGGGAAGGGAGAGATAACTAAAGTAGTGGGGTTAGTGGGCGGATAAGCATGATGCGGGACCAAAACGTACAGATCTAGTTCAATGCTTTACCACTTTTACTTCGAAAGGAACTACAGGACGCTGAGGTTGAATACTGTCCGTTACTTACCGGGGTCACGTCGTAGTACTTCGCTTATGTAAGCATCTGACGTCTGGCGGTTACTTTAAGATTCGTCTAGCCCTTATAGGCGAGAGTTTGCCTTTGGGTCAAGCTCAGGCTTGGTCGCTTTACCCTCCTCCGTCTCATGGTAGCTGATAACTGGCTCGACCTGCTCGTGGGTTCTTTCTCGCAGCACCAAATATGTTGTGATGTCTGGCGCCGGAGGTGTACCAAGGGCGCGCCTCTGACTTCGCTCAACGGAAGAGAGGAACAGAGCTGTGCCTTCTTAATGCGACTACCTAATGCTTGGTGGTTACTTTGGTTTGTGTCTGGCTCTTGTAGGCTTGGGCTTGTCTTTGAACCGGCTCCCTTTTTAAAATACTTGTACTCAGCTCCACTTACTGCCTTCGTATATTTAGTGGGAAGACTTGGAACGGCACACACCTAAGAAGCTTGCCAAATATTGGCGGATGCGAATGAGCAAGCGTGCTTACACGTAACCGCTGAGATGACAAAGTAAAAGTGCAGTTGTAAAAATATTAATAAGATGTTTATAACATATATTTATCTTCTCAAAAAATAATTACTGCAATTGTAACATTACTAGATGCAGTCTACTTAAGTTAGCTATTTTAAACATATTTGGCTACTTGCCAAATTATATAACATTTTGTTTTAGTTTTCTACAATATGCCGGTGACCGCAAATTCCGAAACAGTCGTTTTCATGGTCTGTTTACGTGTGTCGGTTGGTTTTGCGTGATTCTCCTTGTAGGACTGGTTAAAACTTGAAATGGCAGAAAGCGCGAACCTCATGAGCACTTCCGGTGACAATCCCAATGCGAGGCTCAGTTCTCCTTCAAAGCGTTCCGATGCGCTTGGCGATACATTGTCGAGCACAATTCAATCTCCTGCATTTAACACCAGTGGGGCTCTGCAGCAACTTAGCGAGCTTTTAAGCATGCATGCAAGGGGAGGGTCAATAAATGACTTTAAAGGTAATTTGTGAGCTATCACTTTGTGGTTACTGACCATTTGCACTGTGAGTCGTGGTTTAAGAACTCGGAGACTCGTAATGCAATTGGATTTATTTTTCTCTGTGCTCTTATTGAAAATGTTTTGTCCTTTCTGCGATTCTGGCCCATGTATTTAGAGGCTCTTACTGTTATCGGCGGTGGCTTTATGCGTATGTTATTTTTTGGTGATATTTAACACTAACGCGCCTTGATTCTCACAACCTAATCCTCTGTTGAGCGCATCTTTTCTCAATGTCGCTTTTTTACCCCTAGGAAATACGCCTACGATTCCTATAAATGACTTACGAGGCGATGAGGCGACTCGTTATACGCGCGAGGAAAGGTTGATTCGTTGCCAACTGGCAGCACTTTGTCATCTCATCGATTTAAATGGATGGACTAATTCAATTTACAACCAAATATCGGTAAAGAAAGAGTACAAGATTTATGCTCTTATTAATCATCGTTAATGTCCGTGTGGGGATTAATTGTTTTATACTACGTTTCATTTCACTTGCAGATATATGAATGTACTCCTTAATCTTTTCGACTTTTCTCCATCTATTGCAGGTTTTACCCAGTAGTGACCTGGGTTCTTTTCATGTTCTCTTAGGCTAAGTGTGCAGAAGACGAGTTTTTGGTCAACCCATTTGGACTTCTCTACCACGAAGTACAGGCGTCGACCTTGGTGAAAGTGAATAGTCAAGGTATACTTAGCCGTGGTGGACACCTATGCTGTTTGAGGTTGCGCTGCCCTCGTGTTTTGTTGGTTGCTACCTTGAATTACACTATTGTAAAATGTTCCTAAATAGTTATTATACACCATTAGAGGAGTTAAAGATTCCAACCGTCTGTAATTTTGAAGCTTTGCATTTTTTAATTTTTACACAGCCCTCTGGTTTCTGTAGGCTGTGTGTGCTGTAGCTACTTCGATGGCTTAAATTTATGGGAATGGCTTTGCGTCAATTTCAGCTGTTCATACAGTCTCTACAGATGGCTTGCCTTAGAGGATGCTATACTCTCGTATGCTGACACATATGGTACAAGTACAGGCTGCGTAAACTTGCACTTAATTAATGCATATTGTTCAGCAAGTCATTTGGTCCATTGGGAGGAGGAGCGTTATTCTTGCATAACTTTGTGCTGACTGAAACCTATTTTGTCCTAAACGCCTTGCTCTTTAAATGCTAGCTCGGTGCGTTGTTCCAGTTTTAATTGCCATGTTTCTGCCTCTAGTTGTTTCTGATGGATCAACATCTCGGTTCTAAGTGTTTTATTGATATGGCGGGTCTTCTTGATACTTGGGTCTACTTGATGACTCCATCCACAACCTTTCGTTTTCTTGTCTTTTAAGCAGTGTTCCTGGGTGGAATTGTATCTAATTTCCTGCAGGCAACTTCACTGTGATTTCACATTAACGAGTGTCACGCCTTAGAAACAACGTCAAAGATGACCATGGAATCGCCAATTTTATTTGATGGACTACCTTATTGCTGTGAAATACTTTACTTTATCAAATTCCATCGATGATGGGAGTACTCTGGCTCCTTGCAGTCTTGAATGTCAGATTTGCGTACACTGCTTTTCTGATGTCGGTTGTCCTATGATTTCTATTTGACCGCGCCAGCGTCCACCTGGCAGGCGTTTATGTTTCTCAAGTTTTGCGTGATCCCTGCACAGCATGGGCGGTCTCTCGAAGCGGTCATGCGACGCAAATTATCTGTGGTCTGAATTTGTGCAAGCTTTTTTAAAGCAATGATTTGCGCTTCAACTATCCTAAGAGCCGACCTTTTTTCTCGAACACGGTCATGCTACGCCATTGTGTGAATTTTTTTTTGGCCGATCACATTAGTGGTGCGTGATGCAGTTTAAAAATGTTTTTTTGGGGTCAGCTCGCAATGTCGCGCCCGGAATGACTCAAATGAAATGGTTTTTTTGCTCTTTTGATCTTTCATCTGTTTATGGTGCCAAACAAATCTTACACCTAGTGCTAATGGATCACGTCAGGCTAGCACGAAATATCGTAATCATTGCACTTTCATCATTAGATAGTTTACTACCCTGCATTAACACTGTCAATATTTTGAGTTCTCATGATGCTAATAGAAGGGAATAATTGAACTTGAGGCTGGTTAAAATGCTTATTTGGTGTTTACTTTGGTCGAGACCACCGAATGCTTGATGAAATGGGCTTGATTTTATGCGATAATACTGGCTTACCTACACACTTCATATACCCCTGCCGTAACCATGGTAGTTGTAATTAAGTCGCACTCTGAGAGCGCTTTTCATCAATCATTTGGCATCACACGATGGGTGTTTTCGGATGTGCTACGACATATGCCTTTGGTAAAATTCAAACCAGTGACTATCCTAACTTGTGCTATTGCATTCTTGATTAATATAAAGTCAAGGATGCTTGCACACGTCCTAGTGTGAGAGCTTCTGAGTTTGCTCCCTCATCTTCTCACGGATGTATTTTTTATCTCTCATCACCTCATTGGTTCTGGCTTTTTTGCATCCAATAAAGACAGCTCCGCGCGGTCTCATCCTAACCCAACTACGAGAGATTGTCTGCATTTTGGGTGACCACAGCAAAAGCATTGGGTCTGTGGGTCTACCCAACATTTTGTGGCCTTTTATGACATCAATTTTAACCACCGAAGTAGGTCGCCAAAATTTTTTTTTGTATAGGTAATGTTTTGGATCCTGGGAGCACAGTGCTGGGCGTTAACAAGGCTGGATGGAACATGCATTCGGCCATTCACAGCACCCGCAGTGACATCAACTGCGTCGCTCATCTTCGTCTTCCCGATGTGGTCGCGGTAGGGCATAATTCACCTTTTAATTGTGTCTGGATTCTATAACTATAAACGCTTACGATTGGCGCTTTTAATAGTGATTAGTTGAAAAAACAAGTATATTAATTTATTAACTCTTCAAAGGTTTCTTGTATCAAATCGGGTCTCCTCCCGGTCAGTCCGGAGGCTCTGGAACTGTTACCCAATGTGCGATACCACGACTACGCGGGCATAGTTACAGACTCCTCTGAGGCCGATGCTATACGTGCAGATTTGGGCAATGCTAAGGTCCTCTTCCTACGTAATAAGGGTGTCACAGTGGCTGCATCAACCATACCTGAGGCCTGGTACCTCCTGAAACGAGTCATCAGTGCCTGTCAAACCCAGGTAAGTGTGATGGTGCACTTTCGGACACGTACGCAGCCTATTCCAATGCGCTTTAATTCGATGGCTCTATTTCCCCACGCCATCTGTCTAGGCACTTGGTCTCTATGAGTTGCAGCAATTTTTGACGATTGTGGTTCGAAGTCCAATTTTCTTCTTTGTTTTCTTTTTCCCTTCGCTATCCGGTTGTTGTTTATTGTTGACGCATTTGTCTTTCAATTGCGAACACATTGCTTTTTATTGTTTGCTCATAACGGTGAACAAACAATGATTATTCCATACTCCCTTTTCCTGACTTACCACGTTAACGACTCCTTTATCGTTCGCTGCGCTTGTTTTGTGACTCACGGTGTCGTGCTTATTTTGGACCGACTGTTACGGCCATATCCGCTCGCATGTCATTTGCGTACCTTTTCTTTGGTGAGGTTTGTTTCTAGGCTACTGTCTGTGTTAAACCACTGTCTCTGGTCTCAGGTTGTTTCGTCTACTAAGGTAATATGATCTTACCAACGGTGCGGCCTGCTTATGCAATTTAGGTGAAGTTAGAGAAAAATATTTGAGCCTTACGTTTCAACTGCCTTTTTTACATCTTTTAGAATTATGTTTTGAGGTACGAGCGGTTATGTATTCTGGTACTTAGAGAAAATTGTGATTTTGAAGTGTAATTAACTCGCACCTTAGCTAAAAGTCAACTTTAGTTTGTAGATTTTATTATCCATAGGTCACCGTTTTTACCTAGCGATTTGTCGGCTTACCGCAATTCCCTTCAGATGCGCCTTCTTCAACTGGGATGCGCTTCCAATGTGCTAAATGAATTCGTCCTTACCTCCGCGAAGGGTGATGCTCAGGATACAGTTGAACAATCAGGCGACTACCACGAGGCTGTCGCTCAAAATGCCGTCCCCTTTGCTTCTGAGGCCCAAGTATCTGCGACCACTGAGACTAATGGAGTCAACGGAGTTGGAGCAAAATCAACGAGCAGTGGGGTTACTGGTGAGATTGCCTTTCCCATTACTCTTAGTGAATTTTCCAAGGCCCGAATGGCAGAAGTACTCGCACTTCTCTCGCTTTTCCCACACTTCTGTCTTGCTGATTTATACTTCATGCTTTCTTGCAATCAAGCAAAACACATTGTGATGTATATCTGAATAAACAATCCGACAAAATTGAGAGACTTATTTCGTGTTGCTTTGTTCTTATCAGGTTCCGTGGTAAATTTGTTTTTTGTGTTCATAGTCCTAATCCTGCCTAGTTTTTCGCAATCCATGCGCATCTCAACGCATGTTAGTTGGCGTTTAAATGCACGTAGTTTACTCTTCTCACTTCATTCCACCTTTGTACCTTAAATTCCATGCTCCTCAACTCCCGCTCCATGATATCATTGCACTGTGCTGTTGATTCCAAACTTCTTATTTTGGCAATTTTTCCGACGGTATAATCTGGATGTCAAATCTTATCGGCGGAATACAACGTCTATCTGTTTGTTGATTACTCACATTTATGTATGGGATTGCTGTACTTCTCGTGTTATTGTCTCCGAAGCAGGGTCAAGTTGGGGTCTTCTTCACGTTCATCATCTTATCCCCCTTTTAATGCAGAGGAATTCTAGGATCCCCGCGGAAAATCCTTTACTTGTTTCAGACGCACATCTCGTTTTATCTTCTCACGTGCATGTCATGCTTTTGCTTGCATGAGGGTGATTTCGTAATATTCGTGTATGTACATTGTGTAATCTTCGAAATGCTCCCTCACAGATTTGGAATCATTGATACTTTTTATGTTTAGTCTCATCACTCTTGCTACTTTATTTGTGCGAAGTCCACGGTGTACTTGTTATAGACCTCTCTGGCTGGGGTGTGGGAGAGATGGAATTTGAGGCGCAGATGCGAATGCTTGACAGTGCCGGCTATCGAACAGGCTACGTCTATCGTAATCCCAATCTTCTGCGTCGTCCACCCTCGGAGGTGCATTGGGGAGTTGGTACAACTCCACACCAAGCCGACAATGCTACTTCGGCCACTGGATTCGTCTCCGACACCACAATGGCCGATGCTAGTGACATGGATGATGTGGCGGCAGCCAACGAGGCTGGAGCTAGACAGATATCTGAGTCCGTCAGCTGCTTTGTCTTTATCTTTTTGTGATGCGTAAAATGACTAGAACGAGTGGGTTCCTCTCGTTGCATTCCCTGCAGATCTGGAATAATTTTGCTTTGTAGTCATTCTCCTTATTTTTTCATTCAGATCGCAAAACGTGCTTAAGCATTTGAATGACTAGTTAGCTTGATTCTATGACGAATCTCTGGTCCTTTCATGTGCTTAACCTCGGAAAGAACATTTTGAGTCTAGGATCGTGTATTTATTTGGTTGGTTGTGTAATATAATTAACAGAAGGTTCATTGCTCCAGGATTGCCAATACCGTACGAACTAACAGAGAAAAAGGAGTCCAACGCAACCAATGGCTGTCTAAGGCAGTGACTGGTATGCTACTCTTGTCATATTTACTTCGTCCGCCCCTGATTCCGCCCAATTGAATGCTTCTGCTGCATCCTCCATGACACGCTTTTCTTTATTTTTTGTTAATGTGCATGTGTGTAGGCCTGCTTTTGTTGTCTGTTTTTGCCGTTTGTCACACGCTATTGCCATACAGACAATTTGCTCGCCTCTCAAATTCCCGATCACTATCAGTCGACACCGATTAATGGCCAACGTGTGGGGGAAAGTATGGAGGAACTCTCGACCGCCGCGGCCGTTCCTCCTCTCAATCTCTCCCCCTCTTCACCCTCCACTCTGGAAAAGACCAAACCGACCCGAAAGTCGGGGCGACGCAGCAAGACGTTTGCATCTTTTTCATCGCGCAATCGTAAGCCAGTCTTCCTCTTCCTCCCTTCGCTTGCACACACACACACGCCACGTCTTGCTTGCATTCATGCATGCATAAGCTCAACAGTTAATATCGTGTTGTATCATCTCGTCATTTGCATATACTTTGCCCCCAAAAATGCGCCTGCTCCGATTTCGTGCTTGTCATCTACTTTTAGTCTTAATGACTTTTGTTTAGTTGTTGTACAGAATGGCCTTTCATCGAATTAATTGCATCCACTATCAATTGGCACTCATTTTTTTTTCATTTTGGGATCTGTCTCAAAGCATTGCACCCTATTTCGTTGTTTACGTCGGTCCCGTTCTCGAGGCTGGTGTTGTTGCTCACGTCACATAAACACATGCTGTTTGAACTGGTTTCACCGCCGATCGGTCATTTAGAACGACCCTACATGGCAGCTATCACCACGCTACTTTTTCCTCCCTATCATGGTATTGTCGAAATGCTTATTAGTTAACGTGCGTTACACCTTTTTGTGGTTACCTGTTGTAGCGATGTTTTCGCGCCTATGGTTGTCACTGGTATTTTAGGCCTTGTGTTTACGAGAGAGGACTTGATTTACTGTAAGCCCGTGGAAGTTGTATCAAGTAAACCGTTTCCATACTTCTACTTCAAACGTGCATCCTGCGGTCAGTAGGTTTCCTGAAGCACGGCTCTTGACCTTCTCAGAGTGATGTTATTTTGCTTGCAGAGCAGTTTTGTTCGCATTCAGTTTGATCTTTAAGTGCTATCGAAAATTTTGTGCACATTATCGCTTGACTGGTATTATGTTGGCTCAGCCTTCTTGTTGTGTGTTGAGCAGGGTCAAAGGAGCGTCACACGAAGCCTGAGTTAGTGGTGGATGAGCCCCGAACGCCACCCACCCCAAGGTCGGATTTGGCAAGTAAAAGCGCCAGTCTTCCCACACACGCAAGGAATCTAGGTAGGACAACTGCACTTGTGTCTTTCCTTGCACGCTGGAAATCACTATTCACAACCAGTTTTTGATTGAGGCTAACATGCGCATCTATTTTGCATCCTTAATTAGATTTGTTTACTTATTCTGCTTCGTGTTTGGATAAGTTTGTGTCACTTGACTCCACTAATGCCCACCCAGGGTGTAAACCAGAATGATTGCATACCATGTATGGACCCAAACTGTTTAAACTGTTAAAAGATGCAAGTGAGATGTTGACCTTCTGAGGTACCGCACTGTACTTTTTTTCTCTCAGGCTTAATGCCCTTTTCTTCCCCCAGTGTGTACCATACACAAGTGGCACTGACATTAGTCAAGGCAGTGCGAGGCATTTCAATTTTCACTCTTAGTAGTTTTTTTTACATGACAGGACGTATGGCTGTAGAGGTCTTGACATTTGAATGAACATCTAGTCTATAGCGTTTAGCCATTCGTTGCTCCCATTCTACACCTGAATTCCTCGTCCATCTTTAGTCACCTACTCGGCTCGCAGCTGCAATACCCTCGAACCTATCGATGGCGCGGCTTCTGACGATGAGGAGGTAAAGTAGCGCGCATTTACCCTTCCTTTTTGCTCTACCTTCCCAATTGTAACGCCACAGAATGTCATTCATGGTTACCAAGGCAACGCTGGGCTGAGTCAACTCACACTTTTTTTTCGCATTCTCTTAATCTTCGCCAATTTGAGTTAATCTCTACTTCAACTTAATTTGAGCAATCACATTTATGCCTGCCTTTTATGTTTTAGCCTAAATCCAAAGTGGGAAAGAAGAAGAGCAAGTGGGGTAGTTTTCGCTTTCCCACCTTCAAAAAGAAATCCAAGCAAGCTTCAGTTGCAGTTTAACGGAATTTACTCTTTACGTGCTACCCTCGCTTTCATCATTACTAATCTGAGAATCATCCCCCTTCCCCTCGTTCCTCTACCCCTTGTCATTTGCTGGCTATCGGATTCAAATTCTCCCACAATGCAGGAAGACTTACATCTCCTCTCAATGGACACATACGTGTGTGTGTGAGTTTGTGGTTGTACGCTCGGCTGTGTCTGCCACTCGCACCGCTCACGCGCACACACCCTATTTGGTTCGCTTTTTACGCCTCATTATTATTAAAGATGTACGTGTATATTTTTCTAGTACACCTATATTGAGTCCTTCTATTTCTGTTTCCAATGCACTATCGCTTCTCCTACGAACCCGCTTTTCATTGCCATCTCCATTTCCTCTCGTGCCTTTCGCATTCATCTGCTTTTTCTCCAGCGTCCTCTTCATCACTTATCGAGGTTACTTTACTTCTTCCATTCCCCGGTCCTCCACCTCCCTCGGTTAAGTGTTTGATTTTCGCTTGTACTTCTCATCCACTATTTATGTCCTTATAGGCGTGGACGTTCTTGGCTTGGAACTCGTCTGTCAATCACCACATTCTCTTAGTGTGCTTACAACTGTTTTCACGGTCTCTTGGGGTTCACATGTGCGTAAAATGGTTTTACCAACGATTAAGGTGTCGTTCTTGCAGTTTCTGTCTCTTTTTATGCATTTCCTGGGGATGATTGGGGGGCGCGTGGAGAGTGTGGAGCGTTGTACTGCCACGCAGTAAGCTTGGTCTACTTGGAGAGGGTCGGTGATGTTGCGCGCTGAATGGTCAAAATTGGGCGGTGTGGGCGTAGTTGAGTCTTGCTCCGTGCGGTGGCGGTCGACACCATGTCTTAGGGAGTAAGGATTCGTGTTAAGTTATGCCGATGCACTGATACTCGTGCAAGGGTATGGGTTGGGGAGATGAGGCTCAAAGAATTGGTATTTGGCTCATACATTGGATGAAATTTTGTAATTATTATACAGTTCTTCGATTGTTTGAATAACTCGCTTTGTTGTAAATCATATCATTAAAAATTTTATTTCATCAGCCTTGAAAGCAACTCTTGAGACCAATGAAGAACCACTTTATGGTATTTTTAATGTTCCGACGTAGATTCGGGCACCATGGTAACAGGTCTACCACTAGGTTTTAATTGATGAGGTAGGCTTCGGAGCTGCTTTGCGGTCTTTGTTTTTGTACTGTCATTTGTTACTGGTTAATTGGCAAACTCAATGTTGGCTTTATACTTTGGAAAATAATGTACATGATTCAAATATTAACACAAAATAATGACGGAATGTACGAATCAGGGTGCGACATAACGTAGTTATAGAAAACTGAGATTTGGCTACGTGATATACTGTCTCACTACAATGGAGTATTGTAATTTTAACAAAAGTATCGACGGACTTTTAACGGTTATTACCGCCTTAAGGTGAACCCCGCGATGAAAAACTAACACCAACATGCTCTTGTTACTTATCTACTTAAGTGTTCAGGATTGATGACAAGAAACTGTGTGCTCTAGAAATTGCTGATAGCATACGGGTTTCGTTTTTAGGTTAGCAATGATGATGAGCGAAATCGACCCCAAGGTTATAAAGAAGACACAGGATGCCCTTGGAAAGTTAATCAAAAGACCGCCACTCACGGATAAATTGCTTTCAAGACCTCCTTTTCGATTCATTCATGATATATGTTCGTCAGTGGGTCATAATTTTATCACGCAATTTTAAGCTTATTCTCTCCACGGGAATTATGAAGGGTCTCTTCACTGCGGAGGAATTAAATGCCGATTGCATTAAAGACAAGGAAGCTAAATCTACCTTTTTGAAGAAAGTCGTTGACTATGCCACGGCAGCTCATAATCACTCTCTGGACATTAAAGTGAGTAGCATCATTGCAGGAAAGGAAGCAGAGCGCACAAACCTTCTTCTTCAACTTCTTGCGAGTGCTGCCGCGAAGGGCGTAGGTTAACAAACCACTTGGCTTTTGATAGGTTGACAATACATCATGCGTCAATAAAGTGTTAGGTGTAGGCCAGACCACCAAGGACTCCTCGTCAAAACCGGACAAGAAAGAAAAGAAAAAGGATACGAGTGAATTAAATTAGTGGAAGGTGTCTTACCCTCTATAGTAGTTAAACGTGTTTCCAATGAAAGTAGAAAAAGAAACCTTGTGAGCAGCCGGTCCAAGGACAGGATCGAACGCACACAAGAAAAGATGAGAGACAAAGTGAGTCTGCCTTTTGGTTATTAGATGATAATTGTAGCAGGAAGAACTGTCTAGAAAACCATCAACTCGACTGCAATCCTCAAAGGTGGGCTCAGTTGGCTTTGCTTCATAGTTTTCTAGCCATCGGACACGTGTTCCGATGTGATCAAAGATGTCGCATTTAAGTCTGGCGACGAGGTTCAAATCCAACCACCGACTCAGCTGTTCGGACCGTGCAACAAGGCACCGGAGGTTTCTATGGATCCACAGTCCACACCAAATACAATAGAGGGATTTGCAGCTATTTCACCTCAATCGCGAACCAGTCGACCACCTTCAGCAAAGGGTCTTAAAAAACCCATTACCGGTTAATTAGCTTCACCTCTATTCGTCATGACAATGACGTATTCAAACGCATTGCACTGTAAACAAAAGTTGCAAACCTTTTAAAATCCGATAGCTAGCCGGATAACATGTTGTGAGCGATATTTACTGATTTCTCAGTCTCGACGACTTTTTTCCTAGAGCCAATTCAACTCGAAAAGCAGGTTACAAACATGGACATATCAGCCAAGTTAGCTATGAATGTCAAATACACTGTCAGCAGTCATTGGTAAACCTAACTTTAGCATTTTCTCATCAAGGCCCTCTCCGGGACAGGTTCCTACGATGGCGCCTACTCCGGATACACCAGCATTTGCTGAGTAAGTTTGCGACATGATCATTAACCAGTATCTCTTATATCTGTTCCAAATTTTCTAAAGAATTTAATTATGCTGCTCTGGAAGTCATTCATTATTATATGAATAAAACACTCTAGGTTTCCTAAGGAGGACTTGCAAGAATCGATGGAACCTGTAAGAGCGAATGCATTTCCATCGTCATCAGTGACTGGAATCATGGTAGAAAATGAGATCCTTTCAGAAGATGAAGCCGAGGATGATACACGGAGAGGCGGGGAGGAGGAGGAAAACGTGTCAGGGGTTCGTCTGGCACACGTTAGTGGGGGTGAGGGCGATTTCAGTGAGGTCGAGGACGATGGACAGGCGAACGGTGGGTGCTCGTGTTATGCATTGCAGATCGGTGACGACAATAGGAGATAAGTACCACCACCAATAACCATGTGATCATTAATGCTGATTGAGTTTTGGGTCGAGACCTTAACTGTAGATGATATAACGAGAGGATTCCATTTATAAATTCTCAGAGAGTTATAGATTTTTAATCACTATGTAAACTTTGACCTTTCTAGTTTGTTCTTTGTTCAGGAGGTTTAGTGTCTAAATTATTGAAAACGAAGAATGAACTTGGTAGAGAAAGCACTATCCACTCTAATGGAAGCAAACAGTCTGTAAGTAGACAAAATTAGCAATTTTCTGGATAGAGGGGGGTAAACCAGGCATTAAGGCAACATTCTTTTGTAGCATTTACTTGTTGTCAATGAAGTGGCTAAGAAACGAGACCGCGAAGCAACTGAGCGAGAAATGGAAAAGCTATGCCAGATCCTACAAAATCTGACAAGGTCCGCCCTGCCTCTTGGCAAGTTGATTGACTTAATGCAGGAGGACTTTGAGAGCATACAAACAGAGTATCGTGAATGGAAGGAGGAGGAAGAGAGGCGGCAGCAACAAATCCGAAAAGCTCAGGGGTATGTTCGACTTAAAGACCTACCGAGTCGAAGCTATTTGGCCCATTGGAGGTCCTCGATTTCGGACTAGCCCAACGAATGAAAGCCTATTTAAGATTCCACTATTGTACCAAAATTTATTTAGGCAGTCTGATCCTCGTGTTGCACAGTTGCGAGAAGAATTGGAGCAATTGGAGAAGAAACAATTAGAATATCGCAGGGCAATCGCTTTAATGAAGGCCAGCATCTTGAATAACGATAAAACCATTGAGCAAATGTTGATCCAGGCGACAGGAAATTCGTAGACTACCGTTTTGGTGCTCCTTTTAATGAGTTATGAAATTCGATTAATCTGTTCAGAGCTGTTAATTTTTGATGCGTGAATTATTGCCGATGGGTTAAATTCTACCTACGAGCTACAAATTCGGGTGTGATTGTTTGTAATTCAGTTATCAACTTTGGAAAATTATCTTAAAGATATTCAGAAAACTAGCGAGTGCTTTCATGCTGATTTTGAGTATAGCGCATTGGAGGTAGATGAGGCAGGTTAAATTTGCCGCGCCCACTTCCTCCTTTTCGGTCTTGACATCAGTCTTCTGAGGAAGAAGGCAGTAGACAAAAAATAATTGCACATATTCTCGGAACGCCACAGGTAACAATTTGATTGCTCGGTTACCTGACGATTGGTAGTTATTTTGCATTCATTTTGCCACGCTTCGGCTGGACTTAGGGTTACGCCAAGAACCCATCCCTTCGTCTCCTAATAGAATGTATGTATTCTTCCCAACGCAGTGCATTCTTTGACGTAAAGTAGGTCTTAAGGTGATGCAGCGTGCATTATACAATGCAATGCATAAGCAAATGGTAAATTGTTGTCCTTTAGCAAATGTAAATTTAAAAACCGCATTTCATTGAGAAAATTTAGGCAATCACTTGTACCTATAGTAATTACAAACTTGAAACTTATCGCAGTAATATAGAGTACAAGCTGCTTGTCATTAAAGTTTGTACTGTAGCTTTACCGACCTTTACCGCACCCATTGTTTTAATGGACCAATACCTCGCCTGTGACCGAAGTCTGTATTTGAGTGGTTGACCTATTTTCTGGTTTCGTAAGTGCTGCGTGTTCTACTTTGGAAGCTTGATGATACTTTGCGTTTATACTTTTGAAATTTTCTTAATTTTACAATTTACGGATTTGTGTGTCTTGCTTTTTAGCACGTCGATTTTGGTAGCCGCAAGAAATCTATAGGTCTGACAGTTTTTCTGAAAGTCTGCTTTGGAATTAATGATCAAAGGTAGTAATAAGGTAGTTTGAAGTTTTATTGTGTAAACATATGTGGTAAAAGGTTAAACTGCCGATCACAGAATATGTCGATACGGAGGAGCGCTATTGTTATGGCATAAATTCAGAGAATGAAAGGGATGCCGTTTCAAAAGGTACTTACTTGACTCATAGCTTGCATATACGCCTGAACAGTTTCGCGTACCCATAGTGGTATTTTAAGTGAACAGGCTCATTGATTCAATCCATGGCCTAAATAAAGCAAATGAAATTTGCTGTTTCCGTTTTATTTTCTGGCCACTGAGTAGTCAAACGTATTAATACCTTTGGAAATGTTTTTGGGTGAAGAATTTCGATATTAAGCTTTTACGAAGCCTAGCGGTAGTATTCCTCTGTATATTTCAGCTTTTTATTTGAATCTTTCATGGACTTCTTGTAATATTTTGGAGTATCATTTGGGTTACTAGCTTTGTATACTACTCTCCATATATTCCATTAAAAAAATCCAAAACTGCTAACACTTAGGGCCACAGATATATATAGCGTGGTACGATCCGATACTAGCTTCAAACCTGTGGTCGTTACTTGACTAGGGATTATAAAGCTGCAAGCAGTATCCTAAGAGAAATGTAGCAGATTGTGTGAAACAGGTTTAGATTTAACAAAGCTTTTACAGATGTCAACTCTGAGCAAACTGCATCTCAGCCCGGTTTGATGGGTAAAACCGGTCATTTAATTGGTGCCATCGGTTCGGGTATTTGGTCTGGTGCCGCCGGAGCCGTCTCACTTGGTGTCAGCGCCGTGTCCACAGGTGTCTCCGCTGGGAGCTCTGTTGTCTCTGGTGTGATAAGTTATTTCCCTTTTTCCCGACGCTCCACAGCGGTGGATGAGCCGCTGCAGTCTCATGAGACCATTTCAGAACAGAAGTCTGCTATATCTCCATCGGCTAGGTCAGGCATCCTCTCAAAGGTACTCTTTCGAGGTGCCACGAAGGACAAGGCTGACTAAAATTATCCGTTTCTCCATCTTTCCCTAACAATTTAAAGTAATGTCAAGTGCTTTTATGAACTCAATATTTTTTCTTAATAGTATTATGAAACAATGAATTCGTGATCTTTTTATTGAAATGGTTTATTATTGAACGAGGAAATTTTCCACCTTTATTTTGCATAATTGGTTTTGGAAAAGTTGTGGTTCTCTGCCAACACTAACGCGTTAGTACAGTATAGTAGATTATTTTAATGTGAAGCTCAAAAAACTACTTTGTGGGTCGTATTTTTTGTATTGCTCCTTTGACTGAAGAAGAGAATAGACCATTCCTTGCAGAAATTGTGACGGGTGCATTTAACTTCACTAATTGACTGCCACAACATTCAGAGATAACCGAGTAATGCACTGACAAACAGTAAATCTGTTCTGATTAGCACCATATATTCCCCTTGCTCCTCGTGTTTACCTCACTACTGTTCATCATCGAGGCTTTAAAATCCGAATTTGCTATGGCGAAAATTTACACTAATGCAAAGTATTTTTCTCCACGTTGGAATCAGCGCACGCATTAGACCATTACCATCGGTCAGGGCGTGTCTATGGCCACCGTCTAACCTACCTCTCTTGTCCCTCCCCAATCGATCAAGTTGCGCGCGTGTACGCGCTAATGCACACCCACAGTTGCACATTTTTGATGGGGAAGTTACCAATAGCAACCAGCATCACGCCAAGGCCACAGAAGCCGCAAGCACAGACCTTTGCAACGACTGACAAATGTATGCGGAAGTTGGGTCATTAAATTGTGGGTTCAGCTCTTGGTTCTGTTAAATGAGCCAGTCAGGGAGTTCCTCCGGGTCACGTCGAGAATCCTCTTTTACCTCTACAATACAGACTAACCTACTATCTATGAGAAGGTCTAGCATCATTACAACAACATTCAAACTTGTTTGGTAAGTAGCGATGACTAACACATGTGTCACTGACAAAGGCTCTGCAGAATATGTGGAGAAACAAACTGTGAGTAGATTTGTTTGTTCACTCTACACAGTTTCTTGCCATGAGGCACCATCCACATCGCCCGCGCCAACAACTCGACGGCTATAGACCAATGCAATGCGACCAAATGCGCCACCAGAAGCAACGAAGAAAGTAAAAAAGCAAGGAGTGCTATTTCAGGAGCCAAGGTATTAGGACTTACACTATGAGATTGTCTTAAGTGAAGTGTGTGGTTGACAACAAGAGCGACAATGATATTGAATGCAAAAGTCAGAAGTAAGGTTGGATAGAGTAACTCCTATATACAGAAGACATTTGAATATCATCACCATCAGGTATCACCATCACCACAATCTCCAGATACTGAGTTGTTCGGCGTAGGCGTGGAAGGGCTTACGGGGGAGGAGGCGTTTGTGGTAGTTCGGGTAGGTTCTTCAACGCCCCCAGTTACTGGTGCCACCCCATTTGTGCTCATCGTAGGTTCACTCTCTCCTTCCTCGCCCTCTCCGTCTGATCTCGAGTCCTCGCCACCCACACTACCGCCACCACCAGAATGGCTACATGCGGTCATTTGCACTTGGGGAGAGGAGGATGAAGATGTAGAAGATGTGGAATGCCGCTGCTGATGACGATTCATCCAAAGCAGACTGTCTGTGGACGACGATGGCACAGCAGAAGGTGATGGTGGCCTTCCCAGTCGCTAAAAAGCATAGGATTTAAATATGCTAAAGTAGTAAAAGTGATCCATTCATAAGTGCGACTTATCTACCTGGGGGTCAGTTTCGCCATCAATGTTGAAGGGTGCACGCGACTCCTCCAGAGCCTCATGAGACCGATTAACTTCCACTAGCAGAGAGTCCTGGGAACCCGAGGACTCTCTGCCACGGAGAAAGGCCATGCGATGCTGAAGATGGGCGTCTATACCCTCTAGAATTAATCCGAGTCCAGGAGGAGGAGTGCTCAGAGGTTGTGGTGGCGATGATGACACAGCCTCCTCATCAGAGTCCTCCTCCTCCTCTTCTTCCAGTCGCTCTCCACCCATTTCTGATGATGATGATTGCAAAAGCATTAAACCCACTCCACCTTCTTCTGCTGAAGCACCATCAGGATGATGGAAGGCTAGATCAATGTCAGGTGTCCCAGTACTGTTGCCACCAATGCCAACGGTGGGCAGCCCAGAAACAACTTCAGAAGGGCTTTTAGAAGAATGAAAGAAAGAGATTATGACTATATGAGATTTATAACAAGAATGTTGGGGTCTGACGTACTCTGCTAGAGATTCCAGTTCTTCATTTAGGAGATCTGTAGACAGGGCAACATTTCGCTCCGAGGGTTCATCTCCATCATCCACATCGGCACCTTCATCAGTTGCGTCGTCTGCAAAGGACTCATCTGCACGAATGTTACTCATATGCACGCTGGTGAGTGTGGGCTCATGAACACCATCCCTGAGTGGCATTACTCTCTGACCAGGTATAGGCGGTGCACCAGTGGATTCGGGAAGGTTTCGCAGCGGTAAGGCATGGGCTTGATGACTTATCCCTACCGCAGGATGCAGTAATTGTGGTGGCGACGGGGGCGGTAATGGTGTTGATAAGGTGCTTCGGGTAGTATGGCCTTGAAATAGAGGTGTAACAATCTGCACGACCTGGGTTTGTACATTGCCGTCGCCATTGCCAGACGCCGCAACACTACGAGATCGGTGAGTGTATGGCATTGTGCGAGGCTGACTCAGGGAGGCAGTCAATGAGTTGCCACTGCCTGTGGGTGGTTCTGCACAAGAGAGGAAGCGAACCACACACATGCCCGTATCGCAACGCTCATTATGCATCCGACTCTCCTCGTATAAAGTCCAGGTGTTGTCGATTGGATCAAAGGACTCCACAGTATTTAGGAGGCGGTTTCCATTGTACCTAGGGCGGAAAAAATTTAATGACTTTCGTAACCAGAGTGCTTGGGGATGACAAGGCCGTGCTGAACATGCAAACTAACCCCGCAGCCACATAGACACGTCCAGCAAGTTGACAAGCGCCGACATAGCAGCGAGGAACATTCATGTTTGCTACTAGAGTCCACTGGGTCAAGCGCGTGTTGTAGGCCTCCACGGTATCGAGGTGGAGGGGTCCCCTACCTTCGGGACCACCGTAGCCGCCGCAAACGTACAACGTGTCTACAATTACTGCGCATCCCGCTCCCGAGCGACGCATGTACATCGGCTTGCATTGACTCCAGGTACCTCGGCGCAGGTCAAAGCTGGTAAAATGCCCAAGAGAGCTATGGGGAGTGAGCAAAAGGAATTTTGCCAACATCGGCGATGAAATGGATCACATACGCTTCCATACTGTTGAGCAATTGGAACCCGTCATAGCCTCCAAGACAAAAGAGAGTGTCGTCTGCAACTACCAAACCAGCACCCTCACGAGCAGTGGTCATTTCCTCAAGCACACGCCACTCATCAATTTTCGGATGATACACTTCCAGAGCTCGCAGGCGAGTCTGCCCATCAAAACCGCCACATACGTAGATCAAACCTTCAAAAACAATCAAAGTAAAAGCTAATAACACCACTCAATTTTGTCTCTATAAGCAGAACAGAGGATTGCTATAAGGCAAGCCCTCATATGAAGATGAGAAATGATGGACTAATTAGGTATTGCACCAACGCATGCCAGTTAGTATAGCAACCGTGTTAAGTCAGTGGAATGAGAAAAAAGACACAAATCCGTTCTTAGAGAGCGAAATCATAAATGCATAAACCTAGCATCCACTAACGTTGATGAGTACTTCCCAGACGAAAGGGTGATCAAGGATAGAACTCCGTAGAACTTGCTAATAAATTCAGTAATATTCCCCCATTTGATGGTAAATATCACATGACGCAAGGAGAAAATGGCCCGAGTTCATAAAGTGGTCGGCGAAAAGGAGTTCATTTGAGAAAACCAGCAACTCCTACTATTCAAACAATGCACCGACCCATTGATCCGACCTCAGAGACAGGTTAAAACATTGAACCTTGGTGCACTGGTAAGAGTTACTTCAGCCTCCCAAAATCTGAGTCGCCTTGGTGTTTAGAAACACATAGAAAATGTCTCGAATAAACAACCTCGACTCGACAACCCCAAGGCTTTATGGACGAAGACAAAACAGCAGGATGATAGGAATATGGAAGAAATAATGTCCTTGTGACAACTATACCTTTGTGCGTGCAGGCGGCTGAAAGTCCTCGCTTGTAGTGCATGGGCGCAAGCCAGCGCCAACCATCCTCGCGCTGAGCGACATCCAACAGACCCACCGTGTTCAACCGCTCGCCTCCATCGAAACCACCGATCACGTAGACGCAAGTACCCAGAGAACAGGCTGCTACATAGCGATAGCTAATCGGTAGATTCTATAAGTTAAAGTGATCCTCCTAATGTTCTTTGTAGATTTTGCAGTAACAATTAAAACAGTTAAGAAAATGAAGCAGGCACGAGAAACATGTTATTTACTGTTATTGCCTCCAGTCTTGCATGTTATAGTCCTTAAGACACTCCGATATGTCAATAGGCAGCCTACACGGATTTGATTCATCACGGCTCTATTAACGATTCATAGTACTACAGAATTAGCAAATCCGACCTCGATGAGTGAATGTAAAGCATTGATTGTAGGGCGAAGATATCAAGTGTGGAAGTGCCAAGGTCTGAAGATCTCTTAAGAGGCCATTGACGAGTTTGCCGTGAACATGAAACCTTCTTAGCCATGTCGTTTCATATACCATTTCGCATTGGTACATGCAATAGTCTCCCTGACTAATATGTTCCAAATCTAACAATGTTTTTCGAAGGCTTTCTCCATCGAAATCATCCATCATCCAAAAGGACATGATGTAGAAGAACATTACCCCATAGCATGAGCTACAACAATCGAAAAATCTTACTGGAAGGCTCATAAACTAGAAAAGAAGCAGAAATGCTCTAGAAAGCAAAGGAATGAAAGAACGTGTCATGAAATTGGTGCTGAATGAAAGTTAACCATTCATATGCCCGAAATTTCCTCTGTACCAATGTGGATGAGCCTATGCCAATATAAATTATCATTAATCATTCCTTATGCCGCGTTTATTCAACTACTGACTAAATTTCAGTAACAAAAAACGAACAGGCAATTCGCTCCACTCGCGAGTACGAGGATTGAACATTTCAACAGAGTCCGAGGGGCTTTGATAAGAGCCGAAGCCACCAATAACCACTAAGTATTCATCTCCTCCATCACGCTGGTGGAATCGGCGCTGGCGCATTTGAGAACGTAAGTCAGGTCGGAGGTGAAATCGCTTCGCCTCGTCCACAAGATCACGACACTCCAGCGATTGGCGAATGAGGCGCTACATGCAAAATAAGGCATATGGTTGGTTTTACAGTGATATGCAGTTAAGGCGACTGATCCATCTTCCCCTTTCCACTCACCTCATTGTCAACGACGTCGGTAAGGAAACGAACTGACATAATCGCAAGACGTACGTAGTTTAAAAGATTAGGAAGGTGAACAGATCTGTTTGGTTCATCGTAGTAGACCCAACGGATCACAGCGTTGTAAGCAGTCTCCTCGCAATCAATCTGTAGGACAAACACATGAGTAATTAGCAATACTACCCCGAGGTGATTTAAGAATACGCATCACAAGCAGGGGGAATTAGCAAAGTTCCGTAGACACATTCACTCTTGAATTGGTAATCAACCAGCTCGATTATAGAAGACCTCCTAAAATTAAAAATTATCAGATGCAACATATCAGGTGCTCTCAATCATGTGTGATGGCAAAGGACAATTCCCCGCCAACTCACAGTTAGCCAACTAATGCAATATTCATCGGGTTCCGCCGAACTAATTCGTCTTAATTACTGTGTAAATATCTGAGGCGATCGAGTGTATCATAATACGATTTAATGGCAGTATGTTTGACAGCACTTGTCTTGATAATGGTTCAGAGCATAACTTTGTTGATGCTTGTGAAGAACGTACTTTATCTCCAAAATAAGGAACTTCTTAATAATAACTACCGGAAACCCAGCATACATGGCAGCAGTCCAAGATCCTTCTTAATTCGATGCCTTAAAACTAAAAAGGAACATTTAAAAACATTCTGTTGTACAAAATAAGCATTGAAATCGGTTTTTACTAGCCATCTAAATGTAGCTTGCTGATGATTTCGGAATTACCAAGACCATGGAAGCAATTGTTTGGATCTAATCAAAAGTGAAGCAAAAGTACTTTACCAAAAACTATTTATGCGTATGAGTAAGCAAAGATGAAAAGGGAAGACCTGTCAGCCTTCGGTCAAAGAAAGTGCAGCTTAGATTCTAACGTTAAGCGACCTTACATAGTAGAGGGAACCTGATGCAAACCACTGACAGCAAGAATTTAAGACCACCTTCCAAATACACAGAATGTTGCAGTGACCCCGAATTCCCAATTGAGAATCGCTGTTCCAAAAGGTCAATACATGACAAATCCTAAGGCAAAATAAGTGCAAAATTTTTATCTTAATAAAATGGTCTCATAGAATGGTAAACACAGCACATAACCTATGCAAGATGAAAATAAGACAACTGATGCCTCTGGAACTGATTTGGTGATCATAATAAATTAAAAGTGGCACTTTAGCCTACTAGATACAGCGTCTTATGATGGCCCTCATTTAAAGTTACAATGTTAGGTGGATGTGAAAGATATACAGGAAATGGGTAAAGGATTTAAAGAATTACAAGGAAACGAATAGCTGACGCCCAGGTGATACAAGTGGCAATAACGGTTATGCAGGAGCGACAATGCAACGGCAACCCTAAACATTCAATTTTTGGGCGCTAACTATTGCATTAGAAAGTTGTGCAAACACAGTACGCTGTATTAACACTTAAAAACGGATGAGTCAGCTTACGTGCAGATCCTCCCGACTAAGAAGCTCAACGAGTTCATCAGCGTTCATTAAAAGAAACTCTTCAAATTCAACGACTGTCTCAAAGTTGTGAGCAGCATAATTTTTTGCGAAAATCTCAAGATCTGTACAGCTATGAAGTTCCGCAAACCGTCGAATCCCAAGAACGTTGGAAGCCTCAACTTGACCGAAAAGAAACGCGGAGCAAACAGATTTGACGCCTTCCATTTGTACAAGACTAGCAGCAGGGAGCAACTCTTGCACGTTTTCCATGCTAACTCGAACATGCCCGGTATAGACGAAATCAAGAAGGGCCTCCATGACGTCCGCCGATACGGATTTGAGCTCGATTTCCAGCTGTGCAGACTCCGCCATCTTCAAAACAGAAATCGCAGCTTAAGGCATGACAAAGACGGTGTAGAACCAGCGCTCCAGCTCTCAAAGCAAAGCCGAGTGATTGTATTCACGAACAAAAAAATAAACTTCGCGCAAAAAAAATATACAGGATGAAACTGACATACTCCATTCGAAAACATGGCACCGAAATAGTCACTGGAGGCAGCCAACACAACACGATGCGCAGGAAACACTCTCCCACCAACCTTCACAACAACATCACATAATTGACCTCGTTTTCGAAAAATGTTCATTTTGGCAAAAGCGTTCAGCGAGTATTTTTCTGCGTCCGAATCTAAAGCATAAAAAATGACCAATGAACTTAAAATAAACTATAACAAAACCATACAATGCAAAACCGCGTAAAAGCGTGCATAGACACTAAGTACCTGCACATTCCTCTGAAAAGATCAATTGATGATGCGTAGACTTACTTTCACGTAGTGATTGACCGCACACATCAGTTTCAGCCATGGCAAATGAACAGAATTATTGTTACAATGAGTCTTGTCGCATAAACGATTCAAGGCTCATAATAGGCAATTCTTCTGAGCCGCGGTAGTAATATACCAAACGCAACAAAAAGAATGCATCTAAATATAAAGACAAAAAGCAATACGTATAATAAGCGTTTCATTTCATTTTGAAATCTTTAGTGACTACTTATGATGTGCAAAACTTTTCAATTTTGTTAGGATATAAACTATGCTGATTATATAAAGGGCAGCGTAAGGATAGTAAGCAAGATTTACTGAATCAAAGCGTATACAACGCATTTTATTGATACATTCAAGGCGTCTCAGGGCTTCTCATGGGGTCGAGAAAGGCATAAGTGAGGTTGAATACGTGTAATCCGAAGACGACAAAGCAAATGGAACCTGAGCGTGGCCTGAAGGCCAGCCCACGTGTACAGAGACCAGACAAATCCTCAAGTGACCGCTATACGTCCAGCGATCACATAAACAAAGCATTGCACTGCCCCTCTCTTCTTTTGAGCGGCGTCCTCAGCGCTCCCCTTGGCACATCTCCCTCGCCACCAATTACAGCATATTCGGTACTATAAGGAAGTACCCACGAGCCAACCGCGCCAGTCGACAATTAACATCAGACTAAGGAACCGTACCTGGTCTCCTCGGCAGCTTTAACTGGATCTGGAATTACGTTCATTCTGACAACCAGATTCGGAACCGCATACACCTGTTGACCATCAATTGCTTCCAGCAATAGACGATGTAACTCTGGTCTAACACATTTGTTACAGTGGAAACGGAATGAGCAACTGTCGCGCATATATGGAGAACCGTAGTGTCATTTCCGACACCCAAACACGAATTTTGTATGGACAATTACGGCACGAAACTTTTTCAGATGGTTTAGGGCGATGTCGCTTCAGTTGTTATTAGCTTGTCTGTGGAACATGGAAATAAGGTGAAACCAAATGCCGATATCAGTCTAAATCCTTTCGTCGTGAAGGATTCAGGGATCGTCCATCAACAAGGTAAATGCGCCTCCTTCAATTCACGTCCTCTTTTCACCTCTATCTTCATCTATTGCACTTCGATAGAGTCCGACTTACTTCTACGCATGTGCAGCTCATGGTCGCTGGTGCACAACGCCAAACTGCGCCTATTAATCTTCGATTCCTCAACTAAAAGTAGAATTCCTTTGCAATCTTGTCTGCTGGTTGGATTATAAACTTCTTGTCGTGAAAATTGAGGTTTCGAATTTCTGACCATGTAAACCCGATTTTGGGGTTCATCAGATCATCAGGCTCGTAGGTATTCAAACCCAGAGCATCAACACCAAGAACAAGCGACATACGTCTCCTGATCCTGTGCGACTTGTAGGTACTGAACCATTGCATCATGTGATCGAACAGTTGCCCGTCGGGTTGTTCGTACTGTTCTTTTCTGTAAATCAGTCGATTAAGTGGAAAAGTTTGGCAACAAAAACGTAGGATGTCCGTAAGTCAACGGTGTCTGTTGGACAATAGATTTAACTGCACACTATGTCGCTTCTAACAAACGAGCAAGGAAGAACAAGCCGCAGAGAAAGACCCCACCTCGGTTGGAGCAGAAGGTCTTCAAAAGCACTTTATAAGTGAGTGTCGTTAGGAGAATGTCGGGTTCGGTTTCCACTGCCACCAGTGTAGCGTCCTGAGACTTCCTGACCGATATAAGAAGTCAGTAGGTGCAGCTGGATGCATGTGCCTCGAAGACGACAGTGCAAAAGGGACCTGAGCATGGTCCGAAGGCCAGCCCACGTGTACAAAGGCTAGACAAATTCTAAAGTGACCGCAAATCGTCATATGGTCGCATAAACAAAGTATTACAATGCAAACTCATCTAAAGAACATATCACGTTAATGTGAACACATGTAATTCCTGTAGAAGAATAGATTGGGCCTTAGCATGAACCGAAGACTAGCCCACGCGTACAAGGTCAAAAAGAGTACCAAAGTAACCGACGTTAATGCTTTGTTTATGCTACCACATGACGTTTGGTGGTCGCTTTTAGACTTGTTTGGTCCTTGTAGTAGTGAGCTGGCCTTCGGGCCATTCTCAGGCACATTTGCTCTGTTTTCTTCGGAATATATGTGTTCAGCCTTACTTACTATCTACTTCCACCCTATGGGAAGTCTGGGGATTCTACAATTGCATGTAGGAAGGACGAGGCTAGGAGCATAGATCAGCCGGAATAGTAGATAGCACCCAGAGAGGGAATCCTCACGATACTCACGCACCAAATTCGCCTTCGAATTGACTTCATGCCTTGCCTTTATAAAAGCAAAATTAAACACTCTGCCAACAGTGCAGCGTCCCGAGAGTTTCTGCTGGGTGGAAGGAGCCAGTATTCCAAAGAGAACTAAGCAATTAGGCTTAGGCATGACTCGAAGGCCAGTCCACACGTACAAAGATCAGACAAATATTGGAGTGAATGCCCAATGTCACTTAGTCCCATAAAAAAGAGTTAAATCGAGTCTCCTCGTTTCGTTATTTAAGTCGTTGTGTATATTTTGTGATTTTGAGTGTCTTTAGGCCCGCCTTCTTGCATTTTGCCCTTGTCACTTTTCGTCGGTCTGCTGGCACTAGCTCCCTTTATTGTATTATGTTGATGGTCTGGTGTCAATAATTGCATTGCATTGATTGCATTGCTACACTTCTCTAGATGTGACTTCAAAAGATCAACCATCAATGTCCATGAGCGAAGGTACATCGAGAAATATGTTAATGCTTATATTTAGCTGAAAATGCCTACCAAAAGGGGGTTCAGATGCTTTTGGAGTGCAAGAATCCTTCACTAGGTGATCCTTCGTAAGTACTCACTGGATGCATGGAGCACACTTACTCCAGAGCCAAAATTAATTCTACTGAATTCGCTTCTTTACCACCACTGTTCTAGAGCTTTAAAGCTAATAGCGAGCGCCGCGAAGGCGGGACACACTAAAGCTCTCGAAGCAGTGGCTACCGCATCCGCTCTTGGTTGGGGTGGTCTACCTCTATCCATAAACAAGGCTGTAGAACAGTTTCGGCGTCTAGCAGAGGAAGGCAATCCACGAGGCCAACTGGGCTTAGGTATTCTACACGCTGCTGGCATTGAAGTCAATGTCTTTGCTTCTCCTGTTGTGAGGAATTTAGACGATTTCGTCCCAGATGAAATTGCGCTTTCTCTGTGCCATAAATATGTCGCAAATAATGAATAGTAGGATGAAGGCTGGCAATAGTTGGGACCAGCATTGCGTTGTCACCATTGCAGAGCTCCGATGCTACACTGTTAGGTGAAGAAGACATTTATTTGGGAGTGGTGTATGAAGTAAGTCTTAGCCGACTCGCACAACTGTGATATCATCGCCAGACAGCAGTTGGTAACATATACAAAGTACTACAGTCCAATAGTAATGTCACGTCACCCATTCCTACAACTTCTGTAGGAATGACAGTCAAAGCTCATGAAGTATTTATCTTATAGAAATGAATTTTTGGAATTATTTTAGAGCTTACATGATTCTGATTGAGAAGTTAAGTAAGTTAATGCTTTTTTGTGGCATAAAATTGGATCATAAAAAATTGAAGTATTTATTCAATGAGCATTAGGATACGGTCTTCAATAGTGGGTTTCAACGGCGTCAACTCTTCTTCCAACTTTGCTTCTTCCACGTCCTCCATCATTCTCTCAGGATCAGTATAGCTTTCGGGTTTTACAAGCGTAGCCTCATCCGTAAGAGGGTAGATCTTAAGGTGATGGAAAATCCTTGGATGTACTCCCATTCTTCTAAAATCCTCATTGTTCAACCCTAATTCTTCATTGCTGAAAAATGAGGCAAATTTTCAATAACGCTTATCCAGGACTGCGATTGCCATACGTCGGAAACTGCTAGAGTGCTGCATACATCCAAGTTCTGTTAGCTAATGTTGTCAACTTACAATTAAAGACGTATTCTACTCTGTTGCTTAAATTTTTAACAAAATCTTTTTGATATATAGCAGCTCACCCCTTGACATCCATCTCGTCGAGGACGCTTTCTGGGTTGTTTAGAAGTTCAGCAATCGCCTCGTATATTGACCGACTCTGGGACTAGACGGTAAAACAAGCAGTGTAATTTAAATTTTTTTAATTTAAGCAAAGTAAATGTGAAATCTGACACCCAACTTACAGATAATGCACCAAAAAGTTTTCTAGTATAGTTGTCAAATTCTGCATCCTGTCGTACTTCACTGGATGTTGTACCAGTTAAAGTTGTCATCGCTTGAATCGCGTGAAGTTCTGGGACTACATGAGTCCGTGGATCCATCAATACATCAAATGGCCCTATTTGGCAGCTCGCCAGTGTCGAGGTCGCCACATCCCATGGTGTAGGCTGACCAAATGTTCCAATGAAGACACCCCTCCATGACCACAATCTTGCACAGCAATCGACAGACGTGGTGACTAGGAGTTGCTTCATGTTGATTACTTCCATACTGGTGACACGCTCCGTATGCGCTCTCCAAATATACAACACTAGCAGATTCGTAAACAAACAGATTTCAAGAAATGAAGGTAGAAAAAAAAGGGATTCAGTCAGCAATGTATTTACTAAGCCCCTACCGGTCTCAAAGAGTGACACCAGCCTATTGCTGTCTTACAACCGCAATTGTCAGCATGCCGAAATAGAGCACTTTGATGCAGTTTCTAAGTATTGAAGCATAAAATCACATCAAGTTCATGATTCAGAGCAAGTAACTGCACTTTCACGCATAAATACAAAATGTCGAACATAACAAATACCAACTTACTTGGTGGATGTGTCTTTTCAGGCTCGCACAAAGCATAATTTTTGATGTTCCACACTTGAATCCATCCCATTTCATCACCAGTAAAGAGATGTGTGTCAGTAGTTTTTCGATTCTCTGTACACTGTCCCAAGGCTATCGTCAGAGCCGCTACATCATTGACGGAAGACTAATAAACGATTTAATTTGTCGAGTTCAGGAAACTTACCACCGGGAAGGAAGCGTAGTGAGGCTTACTGGTATAGAGAGCCCAAAAGTGAATAATTTCATTTGGTCCACAGGAGACTAGATTGGCTGCATTTTTTAAGTCCTTCCTACTTTCAAGAAATGCCAATCGAGCTACACACCGCCTTTGATGATCTGAATATGAATAATCAGTAAGAATATGAAGGATCGGTTACTTTTGACTTCAGTCGGTGCCTTAAGCCGTTTCAACACATGTCCACTGACAGCGTTCCAGATGCAAATTTCGCCACCAAAGTCACCAGTGCTCAGAAGATAAGAGTGCTTTGAGACAGTCATTTCGCAGATATTCTCTCGATGTCCCTCCACTGTGGTGCCATCATGACGCCAAGGTGGGAGAAAAAGTTGTTCAACCTTCTCACTCCTTTCTCTCCAAATTGCATCTGTATCGTCTTGATAGAGCGTTACTCGCTCATTCCATCCAACAACTGCAATGTACCTAAAGCGTTATTAGCATTGAATGTCAGCTCAAACTACTGACTTGCCTTCCTGTTCCAATGTTTATGCATTCAACTGCGGCTATTATGCAACCATCGCCGTGCTCGCCTTCTGCAGGGAAAGCAGAGTTCAAATCGTCTCCCGATCTAACCGACACAAAACTGGGACATAACTCACTGGGTCGCAGCTCCAACAAACAAGCCCCGGAGTGATGGTTCCAAATACGCACAACACCGTCTCGACCACCAGTTATCAGACGTCTCTCGGTCAGGTCGAAGCACATGCATGTGATTGGTTCTCCATCATGCGCGTCTGTGACCTCAGAAACCAATTTGCCAGTGGCGAGGTTCCACACTCGAATGCTCTGTTATTTGAGAGGGTCGTTTTAGTGAGAATAAATCGAGCAAAAAAAGTGACGATCAATGACGTTATTACATATCGTAATTGAATTATAGAATTACGCTACCGAATCGATGGCTGCTGTGATAAGTTGGTTGAAGGTCTGATTATATTTGCACAAGCTAATTGCTGACTTGTGAGAGTGAACGGGCTCCCATTGTAGATAACCACTAAAAGTAAAAGACAAAATGGTTCGAGAGCCGCCTTACAAAGTTGAACAGATGCCTACAGCAAAAGTCATGAAGAGTTTATGAAAGAGAGAATCTGAGGTGACGTTGATTAGCACGATGAATAACGGAATACTTATACGCAGAACCAAAAATTTGTGCATTTTTGAAATCTGGCTAGTCTACTTAATTGAGCATAAGTAGGAGCGTAGTCGCCACCCAGACATGCGTACTTTTTGCTAAAGAAAAGGAATAAGTTAGGCCAATAATCTTGCATTTTCAATGCTCACCGTGACTTTAACTCTCTGTATCCGGAAAAGTGATTCTCTGAGGTGGTTCCGAACAGGCATCCTCCATAGCATTCCCAAGATTGATGGCTCTCCGTCCACAAGCGTTCCTCGGTCGCTATGCTACAAGATTTTGTAATAACTTTACTGCAAAAGGACTTTAATTTTGTTTAAAAATAACTGAATTCTAACTTTATTTTGAGTTTAACAAGTGACACGTCATTTGCAACTATCAGGAGCGAACGCGCTGAAGAGGAGTAGGCACAGCTTTGAAGATCACCTCGAGTATCTTCGCCAACTTTTGTGTAAAATGTTGTCATACACCCATAACTATCCAAGTTCCAGATCTGAAAGTTCAAATTACCTGTTACTTGTGTAACGACTCATAAAAGTTTTATTTCATATTGATTTAAAATAATTTGATAGTGACTTTTAAAGTTATGATAGAGCACTTACCTTAATGCAACTGTCAGAAGACACACTGACTATGGCATTGTCTTCAGTATTTATATGCACGAATGATAGCGGTGACGCATGACCAATTAATTTCCCGATCGGTGACCTTGACGAACATCGAAATTCCATTGGGTGCCAGTGGGATTTAAGTGGGTGAATGGAGTGGTGGAATAAAGATGGTGATTAGGCAAAAGTAACGCACGCTGTTATGTAGGCGTTCCAAATCCTCACGATTCTATCCATCCCTAAGTAAGTGAAATATTTTAAGCAAGGGATAATCAATTCCTACCGCCTGTGACAAGGATATTCGTTTCCTTTGAGAAGTCAAAGAATCTTGATCCTTTTGGAATCTTGAATACCCTTTGCTCAAATGGATCTCGCCTTTTGGACGCAAAGATGGAGGAAAAGCGACTTGAGGAAATGCTCGTTATTTTTGAAACAGTCCTCCTTGAAAAGTGTGTTCGTGAGGAACCTATAAATCCCAACACACGACTTGACCACTGATTCGTTTTTGAAATACCAAATGATGCAACTTTTGCAGCATTTGGTTAAGGGAAAAAACCTATAGCTGGACTGTAGTAGCTGGTGTAATATATTTTAGTTTGTTTAAGTGGACTTTTATAGGCGAGAGGCGGAAAGCAATTGGAAACGTGAATCACCTGCGCGAGGTCGGCGAGGAGCCTTTCTGCGATTGACATATGCTCACCGCGTCTGCATTTTATTCCCCCGTCCTTCTTACAGAGATGCCTAATAAACTGTCTACAACCAACTTCCTCTTAAAGTCTGAGAACCAAGGGTCAGAGAGTAGACAGGCAGTAACTACAGCTGTAATATATAATAGTTTGTTTAAGTGTACTTTTACAGGTGAGAGGCGGGAACCGATTGGGAACGCAAATCACGTGCGTGAAGCCGGTGAGGAGCCTCCCTCCAAATGATACTCGCCTCATTTGAATCCCATTCCCCATCCTTCCTATAACAAATGTCTAATGAATTATCTGCAACCAACTCTTCCTTGAAATCTGAGGTTCAAGGACCAGAGGGTAGACAGACAACACTTACAGTAGCAAAGTAGCTACTGATACTTGCTAGTAATTTATAACGGTTTAAGGAATGCTTGGAGTCGCGTGCTACGCTCCGTTTAACCCTTCAAAAGTTACATTAATTCGGCAATGTCATGGGTAAGCCTATGAGTCCTTAATTAAAACAAAGCTGCGCAAATTAAAAGCTGCTCGTATGGATCGACTTGTATATATCTGGGTGACTTCGCATCTTGTGAGGCAACTCGTTTGCATCTCACTGCAAGAGTGTTCAACTTCACATTCTTTTACTCGGTTAATGAGAATATGACGTCCAAGAGGAGGGCGCAAATACTGATATGGTGACAAAATATTATGAAGGAATACAGTCCTTAGAATTGTTTTTTTAAGTCATGGAAGAAGATAATTACTCCTATAGAAATGCGCCCGCAGTCCAAACTAATGTGCAAGATTGTGCACCGAAGTATTCTAATGGGTAACTGCGGACATCTAAGGGGTGAATAAATTGAGCGAATAGATCAAGGCAAAGTGATGGTTTTCAAGAGAATCTGTTCTAAACGGCAACAGTAGCTAAGTAGTTTAGTCGGCAAAATCCCCACAACGCAGCTGCAAAGACCGTGAAATCGCATTCACAGAAAGGTCCTCTCATGCTAATGTAAAATTAATGCAAATAATTTGCTGCAATACTTTAAGATTTTGATTTCCTGCACTTGCTGTTGTCACCTTGGCTGCCACCTCGCTTTTGTGAAGTGATCTGAAATTCTAGCCATGCCAACCACCAAGCTTCTAAATTTTCTATTCATAATACAACCATTTTAGCCTAGTGTCATGCAATTCATTCCCAAAAAAAGAAGTCTTGGGACTTGATTTACAAACTGTAGTGACCAGTTTAGAAATCTGCCTTAGAGGGAACGAATTTGTTTCTAAATATTTTTTTACACTTGAAAGTTAAAGTGACAGCAAAACAACTTAGCTCACTTTCCTTGTCGGTCCTGCCGAAGTTTAGGAATTGGAAAGCTTACCTTGATTGAAACTTACTCGTAGTTTCACTCGATGTGACATCTCGTCTGCGGCGGCCCAAAATGGAGTCATCACGCCAGGCTGGAGTCAATCCGACTATTCTCCCTAAAAGAGATGTAATTGAAGTAAAATTACTTTACCCACGGCATGAATGCCCGTTAGTTAATACAGAATTTACATGGCAATGCAAACATTGAGATTTAAAAATATAAAGCTTAAACTGTGCACAAGCGTATGCAATAAATCTTTGCTTTGAAACGTTACCGTTACATGAAACTTCAAAATGCAGTACAATATGTGAACCTTATTTCGGTTATAATGAATAATTTGCCAACTGCACAATTGTTTACTTCCACCAAATGGTAATGTTTCGTTCGGAATTAAGGTTTAAACCCACCTATGACCACTGCAGTGCTTTCATGATTGCAGCAACTTATCACTGTCTCGTTGGACACTTCGATGTGTACCTGAAAATTTGATTCTCTTAAATGAAGGCCGTTAATAAAACTCGGGTGATTCCTTTTAGTAGGAAAGGCGCATCTATTATGAGTCTAACTTTCAACTTGGATGCTCTTAATTTTCTCGATGTCAATGCCTGTCCATTCGGTATACCTTAGCAGTCCATTCGTCGTGAGTCTTCCATCGAACAAAGGAGACTTTTGGGTCTACTACCACAGCGCTGATACTCATTGTAGGCTGAACTTCCATTGGTCGCATCAGTCGCCATCCGTGAAGAAGATCGGCAAAATCATCGAGAAGGAGAATGGTTATGTTTCCGTTGGAATCGCCCCATGCTACTGCATGTTGTTTTTTATCCAAGAGTTTTCTGTAGGTAAAAAGTGCTCGAACATTGAATTCCTTAAATCTCATTAGGGCCTGGGGAGGGGTGGGATGAATAAATCTGTTACTTGCATGCCAATAGGCGGTGTGTTATGGTGTTCCATCGCATTTTACGGACCAGTGAATTAGATTTTAATAAAATTGGGGTTTTCGCTCGAATTTGAAGGGAAGCGTTGTGTTCTGAGTGTTCCTTACTTTGATTACCTAGGTGGTTCGCGTTATATCCTCTTTTTTTACGTAGCTACGCAGGTGCGGGTCATTGCTGACTACATTGTCGGTTCCAAATGCGATTTCCGAGCATGAACCTTAATGCTGTGTCAGTTGGGTCATAACGTTCTGGTGATTCTTTTCGTCCAGTAGAACAACTTGTGCTTAAGCATAAAAGTTCAACAGAATCCAAGCCTACAACTCAAGGCCGACCGGTTTCAAGAGCTATGGGACGTCTCGCCACTATTGTGTGGCATTTGATTAAAGAAGTGTGATTAAGTTCTGTATTAGGGGGCGGTTTTGCTTGACCCAATTCTGATAGTAAGCAAATCTAACGCGGCGGTGGTACACTACAGAGGAAGAAGCTCACTAAGAGGTCCTCTATGCTACCGCATTGAAGGAGTCAACAAGACGAAAATGTGATGCTGCCCAGATAGGTATGGCTGATCGGCAAAGAACCGTGAATGAAGAATAAGTTGAACTATTTTGTAATCTGGCTCTTACTAAATATCTGCTTTTATGCTAATGCTTTTATCACTGACGATGCTAAAATGAGATGCAGTTGCCAAACAGGACGAAAATCCAGGTCCAGTGGGATTTTCAAGAAGGTTTAGAGACACTACAGCAGGAATTCCTTCCAGGTGCATGCAAATTAAATGGCTGACTTATCTGGCCATTGGGTGCTGTTCATACAATAAGAGGCTAGCAAAAGAGACAAAGGGATGACAAGGCAGGGGCTACTTAGTGTATTGGCTATTTATTCGATCCGCAGTTTTGGTAACGGATCACCTTGGACACCTGACATCATGTGTCCACAGGTGTTTAGTCTACTCGTAGCCTTGAACTTGCTTAGTACACATCTTTTTATATTCAGTGAAGTTTTGGAATGCTGTATAGGTTCCATACAATTTTAACGGTTGCTTCTCAAAAATGCGTTTTCCTAGACCTACCCGTATGATAAGCACGTTGGCACGGAATCCAAATCATTGATACGAAAATAAAATTGGTATCCGGAAAGGTCGAAGAACTCCAGTTCTCTATCACTAAGGTTATTTAGTATCGCATGTTATCTACTACAATCAGTGGACTTACCCTGTACTGACAACAACTTTGTTTACATCATTGAGGTACAGGAAGTCGGTATACCACTTTTGCCGAGTGGATTGTGTTTGTGGGCTGCTTGGTAGCTGGATTGTTTGCTTGAGCTTAAAGTCTCTCGTCCATATACTGAGCATTCCGTCCTGAAGATAGAATCTTCATCGCCAGTTAAAGTGTGCTTACATTGCTACCGATGACAAATCCACCCTCGCTCTCGGGTGGAATGATTCGTATTACATGTTTTTTGTGAATAAGTGGGTAGAAGCGAGTGTGAAACTGATTTTGCCTGGCTTTGCGTACCTCCTTGGCCTTCAAATGCTGCGTCTGTATGATAAATGCACATATATCATCCCAGCTAATGGCTCCTTTACCTCTCACGTCAATTTTGTCGAATAGTCGTTTTAACTGTAGGTAAAGAGAATAAAGTGGCCTTCTTCCCTCGTTACCTGCCAATCATTGGCTCTCATTGCAAAGCCTGTCAGAATGTCTCTGAAGGCAGGGAATTCAATATCATTCTCATCAGTTTTGAGATTTTTCTGCAAACTTTGAAGGTCATCGGCACTAAACAGGTCTAAAATCTACTTAAAGATGAGTAAAACGAAACAACTACTTCAATATCATTCATGGTGTCGAAGCGATCCAAAAGACCTTTGTTGGGTGTCCATGGTCGATTAATTTCAGCGCTAAATTCTTTTGCTGGAATGGACCAACGGATCGAATTCGGTGCCGATGCAGATCGTCCAAAACTGTCGCCCGTTTTCATAGGCATGTCGTGAATTGTGATGCACACCTCGGGATGTGTTTTGCGCTTTTGTTTGTTGCCAAGTTAGCTTAGCAACCAAGACTACGTTGATAATTTGGTTGGCAAGCCTACTTACGATTAATTAGTAGCACGAGCCTCAGCTCAGCATGGCAGATAAAACCGATTGGTCTGGTAGCTTTGTTCAAAAAACAAAGTGAAGTTATATTTTTATGACTCAAGAATGGAACCAGCATGGCATGGAATACGTCGACAAAACACCTGTTTTTCCATTCACCCTATTACTGTCTGTAAAAATTCAGACAATACTCATGGCACTACAGCTGAAAAGGGGTCACATCAAGTTCTCCCGTCCATAGCACAAAACATCCATTTCTCATGTCAAAGCTTGGCATTCATGAAATAAGTATCTGAGTATCTGTTCTCTAAAAAGTGACCTCTCTCTGCTGCCACCAATGCAAGGACAATAATTTCGAAACAGAGAATTGATCTTATTATAGTGCATCTTTGAGGTCAACTGGCATGGTCGTATAGAAATGTACTGTCGTGACCCAACTTGCCTATAGAGCAAGTTGAAAAGGGCTTAACAAACAACTAGCCCTGTTCAATTCACTTATGCCTGTCATCTGAGTCAAAATTGACCAATAATCGATCAAATTAGTATTAATGCCTAAAGCTGAATGATATTGATATTCAATTTTTGCATAACACGACTAGTCGATGCGATAGATACTCTAACCAATAAGCGTGTCTGTGGCTCTTTATCTTGCCGAAAGTGATAATCAATGCATTACCTGACCAGCTTGATTGGTTCATGAACTTGAGTGCCAATCAAAATCCTCCTTGAAAGCGGAATAGGTTATCAGAAAATAGAGATGTGCTACTGGAGGCGGTACGTCTACCCGATGCATTCTATGAGGACAAGAAATCAGGACTACCAAGTGGACAGCAATGATTAACTAAGGTATGTCTCTTGAATCCTTCCCACAATTCAGATGAATTCAAGACAATGATGTGACTGAAAGTACAATCCATGAACGTTTCCTTTTATTAAGTCAGAAAAGTGCCAGCCCGCAAACAAAAGCATGCCATCATTATTCCAAAAAATTTTCAAGATTGTTGATCGAAATTTGGACTCAACTATGGACAAGGTGGATTTATTACGTTAAGTACTGATAGATATCATCCTAACTATTTGATGCTCCAATTTTTGAAACGGTTTTGCAATTACCTCGGACATCAATCACACAAACCACCACATTAGTAAGCAAAATTTTGCAGAAAAGGGAGTAAAGGATTTCGTATTCACTTCAACCTAGAAGGCAAACAAACAACGGGGTGGGAGTAAGGTCAATATGGCCATTTTGTACATATCACAGATAGTGGGAGGTGAAGAGAGAAACGTAGTTCAGCCATCAGGATGGAGTTCTGGACCTTGAACGGAGACATTTGACAACTTTTGGAATGACCTCCAGACGGCTCCGCACCTCGGCTGGCAGAGGCGCGGAGGATGACGCAGTCGAGTAGACCTGCTCCACCTCGCCCTCATCAGACGTTGCTGGAGGATGGTAACGAATGCTGTGGACTGTTGCTGTGGAATAAACAACTATAAGTCGGGCGCCGTCGTTGAACTGAACCTGTAACTCCTCCGGTGATGGCTGTGAGACCCATCCAACAGAGGGGACAAATAGAGGTTCATAGTGGCGTGAAGGAGGGTGCGGTTGATTACCCCTGACCGGGGTGATGCAACTAGCCACGAGCTGAGAGAGGCATGCTGACGTGATGGGACCTTTGGGTTTAGGAGCCATGCAGGCTCGGCGACCAATTATGATGGGGAAAGGCGACAAGACTTCCGGATCCAACGGAGATATGGCAACATTGAACTTCTCCAATGAACTCTCGATCTCCAAGCAACGACGTCGACACTTAGAAAAGGCGGCATCGGCAATTACTTTAGCATATTCAAAAAGTTATTCAAGTGCAATATATGGAACTGAATTTCAACGAAAAATGTCCTACCAATGAGGGACCTGACGAAGGTCGTCCTAAAAAACTTGCCCAAGCGATTTGAGCATATGGGTGGGGCTCACGTAACCAGCATTGCTATAACGCGTAAGCGATGACTCAGAACGCTTTCATCAACAATTACCTAAAGCTGCCTAGCAAGTAGTTGCAATGGATGAAGATATGGCATTGGGATGTCACAATGTTTTTATGAAGGCAAAAAAAACAGCTCAAAGTGAGATATATGGAAAATTCAGGACAAACTTTGACCGTATTTACAAAAAAAAATTGCGACCGTGAGGACAACGCATCTAATAGAAGGTGACAATCGTGCGCATCTAACATCCTCGTAAGGAAGGCTGAATGTTGTGGAGCAGTACGGACACCGCCAAACGATCAAGTAAGACACCAAGGTGACACCAACACCCTCCGCCTGTGTAAAAGATATTGCAGTTCCAACATCCATGCATTAAACTAAGCACCATTATTCCTACTCACCCTTTCCGCATAGGAAATGAGTTCCCTGGTTGCGGTTGGAAGGTTATCCAAAGGCTGTCTGCGGTCAACGGTAATGGTGCCATTGGTCTGGGTGATGACTTGGACTGTCCCGGCTGCATCGCCACCAAGACAGACAACTCGACTGCCATCTACAAGCATTTCCATCTCAAAATCTGCTTGGGGCTCCACCTTCTCCATTAGGATACACTTAGCTCGCGGTGTGTACAGTGTCACTTTGGGTGTGTGAGCTTTGGCCATATTTATGAACCTGAGCATGAAACAACCTCGTCAATAACAAATAAAGTTGAACTTAACGATGAACTCTTGACTAATACACGATTAGTTTAGGAGCTAAGACTCCAACATTCTCACTTGGATACAAACTGGTATTTCTTCCAGTATTTTTCAGGGAGCTGAGCGAGTCTATACACTCCATATGTGTCGCCAGAGCATGCTGCCACAGGGCTGCTCGCATTCGGAGGCACTCCGCGTCCTCCATTCGGGTAGTAAACGATCACCTCCTGCCCATCAGCTGAGATGCCCATAACTTCAACAACAAGCTTCTGTTGGCCCACTTGCGGATCGAAAAATTCCAAACAAACCGACTCATCGGGGAGAATGTTGATCACTGCCATGCGGGTGATGGTGCGCATTGGACGCAGTCGATAGGAACAGAGAGCTGAGAGTCTTGGCTGGTGCGGAGTGCGTTGAAGACTTCCCACTGAAGCAGACCGACAGGGAGATGAGGATGAGGTCGCAATAGATAAGCCCGACAAAGTCTTTGAGGGGGGTGGAAGGTGTTGCAGAGAGCCACCGCGAAGTCGCGTTGCAGAAATTGGAGGTTGATTAGGCCTCGAATCGAAGGGGGTAAGTGGTGTTGGGTGACAAGGTTGGTGGATCTGCCCTGAATGATGCATGTCCACTGAGAGGCGAGAAGATGGACGTGGGGGTAGAATGCTTGCACCTGGCCGGCAAGAGAGAGAGTGACGACTGTTCCCGGTGGATGCTGTAGTAGTTGTGGCTGTGACTGAGTTTGAGAGCATTGCGGTAGTGGGCGTACGTGACATTGAATCAATCCCACTGTCTCTGGAGTGCTCCTGAACAAAATCGTTGCATTTGTCATGGCATTAGATTCGTTCTTTGAACAACAAAAATGCAAAAAAAGAAAGAAAACACATTCACATTCACAATTTTGCGTCTGGATGTTGCGCTTCTAGTTATGAAGGGATGCCGGATCATATCTGAGAGTTTGATACGGTCCTGCGGTTGTTTTCGCAGGAGTTTGGCGATGAGATCAGAGCAGTCGGGAGAAAGATGAGTAGGCATTTCGTAGTCCCCAGCGATTACTCGATTTAGAGTGCTCCTGACCTCACGAGTGTCAAATGGAGGACGACCCACTACCAAGGTGTAGAGCATACAACCAAGGGACCAAACATCCGTCTCCAGGACCTGATGACCACGACTTGCGACCTCCCTAGGCATAAAAAATACGTTGAAAAGCTTGAAATGTAGCCGAAAGCCTCAGAATAGGTGTGGTTAGTAAAATTCAATGGTAAAAGAGATGCTTTAAGCCTTACGGTGAAATGTAATTAGGGGTACCACACATGGTAGTATGGTCTTCACCAGGCTCAATTTTTGTCGCAAGACCGAAGTCAGCAATTTTCTGCAAAGTAGTAGTGCACATTTTGAGGCAAAAGTACAAAACACTAAACAAAAAGTACATTGACAAGCTGCCTACCACTTTCATATCCTTTGTCAGAAGCAGATTGGCCAAAGTTAGATCTCTGTGGAGGATGTTGTGCGAATGGAGATAAAGCAAACCACTGATGATTTGCTTCATATAGTGGCGAGCTGGAGTAGGCAATGAAGTAGCCAGTAATGGAAGTGTCCAAGAGATTCCGTAAGCACAGATGAGACTCGACATAAAAAACTATCCATCAGCACCTCAAAACGGTGACAAGAGGTGTAGAAGTAAAGGAATACCATCCATCAAAACGGCAACCAAGCGAGGTAATAATGACAAGATCACTTCACTTCTCATCATAAATTACGACTCCGACTGGCTTTGGGGTAGTTGTAGAAAAATTACTACAAGCGTCCCTCCTCCACTCAAGTCTATAAAGCGTGGTTGTGGCATTCAAAATAACAAGTCCTTAATGCCAATTTAAATGTTTTAAACAGTAGTTACCCATAGCATGACCGACATCAAGAGGACACGATAAGTGCTGCGGTCCTCTCGCCTAGTATTTGATGTTCCATTAAGAACGTGCAAAATATGTCCTTTCGACCAAGTGGTTTCAATATTTCGGAACATTCAACGTTAGAAAATAAACACTGGTGCGTTCCTCATCTGTTGAAATGGGTGAGCAGTATTTAGGCATAAAATAGTTTATGCTCTTTTCTGTGTCATAGGATTGCCATTTTTGGACTTAGAAATAAATGTAGAGACAATAAATAGGAAGCATCAAGCGCACCCATATCCTCAGAAACCGATCCGTTCTGTCGAATGTAGGCCTGTAGCTCACCATTGTCACAAAATTCGAGAACTAAGTAGACATAATTCGCATCTTCAAAGCATGTGTACAGCTAAAAGAAAAAAATAACTTACTTTCAGTAAGGCATCCGATCAGAAACCCTGCTAACATTTGATATGGCATAGACAGTAGGACGGCTTTAGAGAGATAAACAAACCTCAAGGATCGCAGGATGCTTCAATCGACTGTGAATTTCAACCTCCCGTTGAACGCGATGAGTAAGGCCATGTTGATGCATATATTTCTTGTCGATCTGAACGGCAGAGAAAAAGCAACAAGAATGGAAACGAAACTAGAGTCATGAATGAAGTCTGGTGACATTCAATAAGAAATGAAGAGGACGGCAAAAGTTGCTTAAAAATTAGATGAATTCAGAAACCGCACGTAAACCAGAAAGCGCAAAATTGAGACGTACCATTTTAATTGCGACCTCTTGGCCGGTGATAATCGATTTGGCACGATACACTTGGGCGAAGCCCCCACGACCAAGGAGTTCGAAAACCTGAAAATCCTAGAAACCGAGAACACATTTGGGATAAGATCATCTAGCATATAAAACCTAGAACTATTACAGTGATAAGATCTCAAAAGCTTTTGACACCATTTACATGAAGACGCCTCTCGAGGAAACCAAATCCAAATGACATGATGAGATGAAAGGCAAGGAGCTACGTGCTCTCAATGGTTATATGGGAGGTCGAGTGGTTGTTGCTAGACGCATAAGTGACGCAATGTGATTCTGTGGTTACTGAGGCCTGTCCATTTACATGAATGGTCTTACTCATCAAAAAAAAAAGGAGACCCATATACCTGCACAACAATGGATAAGAATACAGGTCGGTTCGGCGACAAAGTACCCAACTAATTTATGCAGATGAGAGAGGTATGAAAAACGAGGAAGTAACAGCCTTTGCTAGACTAGACGCATTTAAGGTAAAATAGAACTTAAAATATGTATAATTAATTAAGGAAAAACTTATGGAATAAAAGAAGGGGCACTTTAGACAAGAATATGCATGAAAAAAGCCCGAAGCTAATGAAGAAGGCCAGCAAAATATCAATGTAAAGGATTCGAACGCTAAGCCTTTCAATGCTAATATAAAAACCAAGCGGCTAAAGTGGATAAATAAAAAGCATGCTTTTTCAAAGTTGCTACACCAACAGGAAAGAATTAAATTATGAAACCTACATGTTTCAGAAGAGAATTCAGGGGCACATGTCAATGTCATATTACTAAGGCAGATACAAAAATGCTCTTACAAACTGCCAACAGACAACCAACAACTTTTGAGTATGCAAACATCCGTACACTGACATGTCAGAAATTTAAAAGGACACAACTTAGACTACTTGAAATAAAAAAGAAAGTCCCAATCAAATCCTCCGAGGCAAAACGCAGAAGAACTATCATTTGTGTTTCAAAAGGCTAGGTACATGATTATCAAACGTTGTTGATATGAAAACCAAGTAACATGCTAAAAACTGAAAACTGTAAAACCAGGAAACAATTCAAAGCAAGCGACTCAAAAGAGCATTGATAACTCAAATATAAAGCTCATACAACGAAATAAAGGGGAACTAGATAAAATATTACCAAGATAAAACGGAACATGTCTAGCAGTGTCAACCAATACATCCTACTCATAAATACGAAGAATGTCAGCGCCGAACTTACATCCTTTGAAGATCCCAAACCCTTTGAATTCGGCTGACAGTACATCTAGCTTCTCAAGAAAGGACGAATAGCGCCTGGAATACCTTTGGAGAGGAAACACGACCAAATCTGATAGCGACTAGAATACACGTATAGAGCGCAAATTTCGTTAAGAGGCGAATAAGCCGATGTTAACACGAGAAGAACGAGTGTGCATTGCACCAAAAATACTAAACTAGAAAGCGCACTTTAAAGCTGAACTCCAAAGAAGCGTCCATGAAAAGACGTAAAATAAGATGCTAAAAGAAAAATTTCTTTTATGGATAGTGCACGCTGCGCCTTAATTTAATAATTTAGATGTAAATACAGGCCTCTTTTATCGATTTAAGTTTTTTATGCGAAATCATTAAAGTGAATACCGCATAAAGAATCTTACAAAATCTATGGGTTTTTCGAAGAGAAGCGACTAATGTAGTGTTCCAGGACCGTCTCACCCGTTAATCTGAATGCATTTGTTCCTAAATAATTAGAATTCATTGAGTCTTAGCATGACCCGAAAACTAGCTCACGCGTGCTAGGCCAAGACGAATATCAAAGTAACCGACGGACATCAGATAGTCAAACAAACAAGATATAGCACTGCTCCTCTCTTCGGTTGACCGACATCAACGGCGCTCCACTCGGTACCCCTCCCGCGCCAGACATCACAACATATCCCGTTCTTGATGCATCACCCACGAGCCAGTCACGCCAGTCGTAATCTTCCGTGAGACTGAGGAACGCTACTGGGTCTCCTCAGAAACTTCAACTGCACCTGGAATACCGTTCGATCTGAAGGAAGGAGCCATAGCGTATAATTTATGTTGACCATCAATGGTGCCACGACCTCGATTTGGAACACGGGTCAAAGCAAATCTTTAAAAGAAAAGACGCAAATCAAACACAGTCCTGTGTTGGGGGGGTGGCGGTGTGGATTTGCCGCATTGTCATCTCAAGCACACTAATTCTGAAGCAGTAAGGAAAATCCTGATGCTAAACTTTAACAGCTGGTCCACGGTGGTGTAGATTAAGTTGTTAATAGCTGATCTGTGGAACGCGAAGACAGAATGTAGCTAAACACAGACACACTGCCAACTCTTCTTTTGTGAGGAGTGCAGACGGTTTCGGCCCAGATTGAAACGCGCTTTCTCTATACCATGAATACACATCGCTAACGATGAGTGGTAGGATGAAAGTCCGTAATAGTCGGGGTATACATTGCGCTTCCAACTGTGCGCAGCTCCGATATTACAGTGCCAAGCAGAAGGAGGCATCCCGTTTTGCAGAATACGTGTAATTTAAGAAAATGTACTAATAAGCTCTTCCTCCTCTCGGATTTCGTCGTCATGGCACTTCATAAAGTGGGGACGCATAAGAGTTCAAAGGACATGCATTTATCATTGCCTTTTAAGAACTATTGGGTTCGCCCATCAATTGAGCTATTACTGACCTCGATTCGTATTTATATCGGAGCATCCAATAACGGATATGGTTGTCGCATTTATGTTATCAAATTTTTTTCTCCTATTTTCACAGAAACGTTGATGGCCACGCATTAACCAATTGGAAAGCGCTTCGTTGCTTCCACCCTACTTGCGCCCATTTAACAACTCTTGGATGATTGTAGGAGTCGCTAGCTTACTGGAGTGTTTTGTTTTAGCTTTTGAGATTTTCTTTTCTGGTATGCATCTGCACACCAGGCCTAGTGGCTTTCGGGGGTGAGTTAAAATCTGCAGTTCCTTCCAGCGAACAAAAGGGTATGCTTTTTGTGGGATAACTTTTTATCACTTTTGTGCTGCACTAGTCCCTCCTGTACCCTTAGTCAATTTTTTTTGCTACTACTGGGTCTTCTTATTTCGGTATTTGAGTCGTTGTGTATATTTTGTGATTTTGAGCGTCTTTAGGCCCGCCTTCTTGCATTTTGCCCTTGTCACTTTTCGTCGGTCTGCTGGCACTAGCTCCCTTTATTGTATTATGTTGATGGTCTGGTGTCAATAATTGCATTGATAGGAA